GTTTTAAATCCCAATCAGCATGATAAGCGTTGAGACCTAGTTTTGATCTCTTATTGGCAATGATAGAATTATAAAGAATGGAATCCTAATAATTTATAAAATAAACAATAAACAAATAAAAACTTTCTCGTCTGTTGAATGCGTTTATTTTAAATTCAGAGTCGTTTCATAGTTCGGAGAGGAAACACTGAGAATTTCATTGAAACTTTGACATAATATATTTTTTTTAAATTGAAATGAGTGCAAACATTGACATTAAATTTAACGATTCTTAGTTGTGTATAAATGATAGAATTCTATTCGATTGAATTGATTCAGCTGATTTTTGCTTGTTAGTTCTACGAATTGATCTGTGATAAAAATGCGGAAAAGTGATGCAGTGGAAGATTTTCTAGGCTCATTTGGAAAGTGGCAGTTTAGGTCAACTCTTCTTATTTATTTAGTAAAAATACCTTCAGCATGGTTTATGGCTTGTGTGAGTTTCAATTAGTGACTTTTGAATTAAAATGTATGACAATAAATAATGAAACCTTGAAATGTAATTTAAGTTGATTTTCACAGCTAAAAGCCCCATGCCAGGCGAAATTTTCTGTTCCCCGCCAATTGGAATTGAACTAAATGACACAAACTTTTGGATTAATTCAATTCATAAAGAAAGCTTTAACAGAATCGAGAATGAAGAATCTTACGATTATTGCTACGTTTATCAAGATGCTTACCTGAATTATTCTGTTCGTGAAGATGAAGCGACAAGAGAGTCAATTCCTTGTGTGAAGTTTCAACACCAAACAGTTTATGCTTCAATCATCAATCAATATGAACTTTTATGTTCGCGTGAAGCTTTAGTAGCACTCTCACAATCATTTCATTTGTTGGGTGTTCTAATCGGTGGCATAATTGCTTTCTACATGTTAAAGAAGTAAAATGGATTATCTCGAAACTTATGCAGGCGATAATTGAGTCCAAAATTGCTTTTGATTTCAGATGCAGCCCACGTGAAACGATGCTAGTAGGAATGATTTCACAAATTCCACTCGGTCTTGCTACAGGTTACGCTCCTAATTACATTCTTCATTTGATCTTCCGATGCAGTGTAGCAGCGACATGTTCTTTAATGTGCATTGGAATTATGATTGGTAAGAAATGTGAATCAAGGAAATTATAATTCTTAATTTTGCTTAAAGTTTCAGACATAACTGCTGGAAAATATCGAATAATTTCGATTTGCCTTTTCGAGCAGTTTTGGTCGATTGGAGTTATCCTTTTACCTGCTGTTAGTAGCTGGTGGAAAAGTTGGACAACTGTTTACATAGCAATATCAATTCCCACATTTTCATTGATTATTCTTTATTATTGGATTCCTGATTCACCACGATGGCTTTTGAAACATAATCGTGTTGCCGATGCAAAGAAAGTTCTTTTAGATGCTGCAAATTTCAATGGGAAAACTGATTACAATGAAGATGAATTGGATAAAGAGTTGAGTTTGTTGGCTGAAGAGATGCAAAAACATCCTTCAGAACCAACGTTGCTGTCAATTTGGAAAGGAACTTTAACATTTAAAATTCGTCTGTTTGCTGCACACATTGGATGGTCGATTTACTTGATGACTTACTTCGCTTTGCTTTTACATGTGAGAGCGATGGGCAGGAAATATTTAGAAATTAACACAATCATTGCTGGTACAAGTGAAATCATTGGAACATTTATTGGATTAATTTTGATTCTTCACACAACACAAAAATGGCTTTGGACGAGTCTCCTGAATATTCTTGCATCAATTATCTCAATCTCAGCTATTTTTGTACCAGACACAATTGCACCAACTGAGAGAATGATGATCTACATGGCAACTGCAATGACAGCTAAAATGACTGTTTCAACAAGTCTGTCAATATTTATAACGTCAATGAGTGAAATTGTTCCCAAGGAAAAGCGGAAAACTTGCAACTATTCTGGTGTGACATGCTCAAGAACGTTGGTGATGATTGCACCGTTTATTGGATTCTTCGTCATTTATGGACAATTAGGTAGATGATAAGAACTTTTTACACAATTCAATCATTTCAATTTCTTTCTGTACAGTGCCACAAGTTATAACATCAGTAATGAACATCTTTGCATCTTTATTGGTTGCTATTTGCATTCAAACATCACGCACACTTCCTCATAAAACTGAAATTGTTACTCCAGAAAATCTTCTTCTTAAAGCATAAAAGTCTTCATCTTACTAGTCTAAACTGTTTTGAATGATATAACAAGAAATAGAAAAAATTAAAATGAAAGTCATAAACTTTGATGATCAATTAATCGGAAATCTTTTAAATATCCGAATGAAGGGGAAAAAGAATCGAAAGAAATGTCTTTAAGATGTTTCGTCAATATATGCTGGATGTATGTAAGTAGGTATTTGAGTAAAATGACACCAAAACTAAATAGGGATGTCGTGACACTTAACACATGAAAAGCAATCGAGTTCCTTTACGAATAAATCTTCTTTGGGATGAACACTGAAAGGAAAAGCAACGGAAATAAGAGCAGTATCGTCTTAAATGGATATTGCATTACAAGAAAATGCTTCTTAAATCTACACGAAGAAGTGAAAACGGATATTGTTTAAATTTGTAATAAAGCTTTGAGTTTTTATTACAAACATTTCCAGAAACTGTAAATTTTACAAGTAAAACTATTAGATATCTGATTTGTTATACGAAGATATTAGTACGAACTATGGAAATATATGTTGTTACGAAGTAACAGTTAAAATTAATAAATTAAATAGATGGCAAAAGATTTCGTCATTTTTTCACACTTTAATCGAGTGAAGAAAGTATTAATAAAGTTGGTGTAGAGTTGCTTGTATAAACAAAAATAATTGATTAAAGATTTTAAATTTAACTACATAAAACTTAATTTTTGGCTCTCTTCACATTTTTTTCTTATAAAATTTCTTTAAATCTCATTCATTTAGAAAGAAAAAGGTGAAAATCGCTTAAGCTTCTTTCTCCTCAACATATTTTCGTGTAGATATCGCTTTTTAAAATAGAACAATTTCGTTTCCTCTCTTCAACTGTCAGAATGACAATAAATTTTAATTAAATCTAATTAGTTGAATAAATCTTCTCGAGTGTTTTTCTCTAGGATTCTTAAAATAAACGTTTGGATTAATACTAAAAGCTTCTTTAATTTATTTACATGAAGATTCATAATTTTTACTCGTACAAATGTAAACACATTTCACTTTGGCTTTTCTCACTTCTTTCAATTAACTTTTGCATCAAATTCACACTTAAAATGTTGTGTATTGCTGAGATGATGTTGCATTGAAGATTGATTGAGTTGACTTTGTAAATTATTAATAGTGCTTGTATGTGGAGAGTTTTGAGGTGAATTAGATGCATCAGGTGAATTTATACTTTGTACAATCAAACTTAAGCAATCTAAACTTGAGCCATTAATGGGTGAATTGAAGCCTGGAAATAATAAATTTTTATTAGAAAAAAGTTTAGAAAAGATTTCATGATTTATTTTACCTATGATTGGAGAAAATTTGTCGCTTTCCTTTTGTAAATGTTGAAGACGTTCTTTGAGATAATTTCCAGAGTAGCAATTCTAAATAGAAAAGTTGAAAGCTAAGTTAGTTATCTTCAACCTGTTTTGGTTTTTTTCGATGTTAAAATGGAAAACGATTCATTGTCGTGATGTTTGAGTTTATTCTGTTCATAAATCACAGCATTTAACCCTTTGAAGTAGTCTCAAGATGATAATTAAACGATACACTTAGGAGCAATGAGAGCGATGACAAGCTGACACCATCAAAAAGAGAATAAATGATATTTAAAATGGTTCATGACATGTCATAATGATTCCATGAAAAACATGTGACGGTGTCTTGTCTCTCCGATTCCATGCCGCCAGACAAACAGAATTCCTTTCGTTTCTTCATTTGACACCAAAAACAGTTCTCAGACAATTCTTTTCCAACAGAAGTTCTGTAATGTCATGTTAGGGCAATTTAATTTATTTTTCCTAATGGAAAATTTGTATGCAATTAGCGCATTTCTAAATAAATACAAATTCGTACTTCTCATGATGAAGTTAATTAAAAATAATTGGTTTCGTATTTAAACTTCTAGTTATTCAAGCAAAAGGTAGATCAAAAGAGGCAACCTTACAGATGATTATCAAGATTCTGAGATATTTTAGTTGCAACATTAATGTTTAATGTGTCATTTCACAATATCTTGGCAAAAGCATATGAATCACTTCTTTCCCATAGTTTTAAATAATTTTCCAAAGACTCATGAAATGAAAATATCACGCGCAGAAACAGTAGTTAAAGTCAGGAATTTTACGATTCTCTGTATTTCAAAGTGAAGAAATAATTTAAATACTTTAAGACGATCAGTTGTGCCTACTTAAAACATTATAAAACAAAATATAATCGTTGGTAGTAAAAGTTGATACTAATCCTTTCAAATTAAAAATGATTCCACGTCAGAACTTTATGGCTGCGAAGCAAATTTGTTAAACCGTGAACTAATTATTACTTTTGTCCTTTACAAATAGAATGGAACAATAAAAAGCAGAAGTTTATCTTGAATGAAAATAGAAGAAAAGCACGAATAAGATTTTTATAGAAAATTCTTTGAAGGAAAATAAAAAATTTGTCAAAGCTGTTGTCTCTTTTATAGATGTCAATTTATTTTATTGATTTTTTTGAATTTCATGAAAATCAAAGGTTTTCGAAAGTGCCAGCTGCTTTTCAACTATCGTTGGTTTTATGCTCATTTTTTCACGTCAATAAATCAATTTATCTTGTGACGTAATGAATTGTTTAGAAAGTTTTTAAATTTATCTGATTAAAACAAGATTTCAGTTCATTGAAATTGAATTAAAATGAAGTGGAACAAGTGATAATAGAAGCGCCTTTCCAAACCTTTATTAACATCTGCACAACATTTGCGAAGCATAATTAAGATTTTTTTATCATGTTTGATCTTTTGCCATATGTTCATCTAGATGAATAAAAAATATTTAACTTAAAACTTTAAGCATCACGTTTTTGTTTATGGCAATTGTGGTTTTATTTTGACAATTGGAGAGGCTTCAAAACTTTTTCTTTATAGATTTAAAGAAATTTCTGTGATTGTGAAATCTTTAACTTTCGTGACTTTTCACGTCTCCCACTTTTCCATTAACATTTTTTACTGTCGCAATCTACGATTTATCAAGATTTGTTTGGGAAACTCTTGCTTTTCTTTCAGCTCACAATATATTCCGTTGACCTGTACAAATTGCTATGATTATCAATCACGAAATCACAAGGGAAAAGTGAAAATAAAATTAGACGACAAAAAAAATCACGGTGGCCCTCTAATAATATTCAAAGTGTAATGAAATGAGAGAAAAGATTGAGAAATGTTTTTGATGATCCGATCTTAACTCATTTGTAAAATGACACCTTGTAACTGCAGACAGTAATTCATGACAGCTTGACATGCTCATGATACTTATTTCAGCTGCAGTGAAAACGAGAAAAGTGACTTTTGAATAAAAAGAAAGAACCTTAAGTCTTCATTTTCCCTCACAAAGCCAAAGCCTGAAAATGAAGATGTCATAAATTTGTCATTCAGTTTATTAAAATAAAATCAAAAGTCAACTTAATTTGTTTTAAAATTTTATCAACGTTTTTAGTGTTGTGATTTTGTTTTTAACGTTCACAATCGTAAACTGATATGTTTTCTAAATCGTTTTATAATTAATGGGAGTCATTAGTGAAAAAAAACGAAGTTTCTTAACGAGAATTTTAATTTATTCGATTTGCACGTTTTTAACAAGGAACATTTACGACCACTCACGTTACTGGATTTATATCCCGAAATTTATGATTGCCATGAAAACTCGAATGAAAGTCTTGCTCACAACGATTTTAAGTCGACTTAAGTGTACACATATTTTTATCTCACGCAACTTAAAAATATTCAAGTGACTCAAGTGGAATTGTGTCAGCGTGAAAATAATGCATTTCAACGCACGTATAAATTGTTCACATTTCAGAATGTCATCATGTATCTTACTTCAAATTGATCTCATCTCTAAGTAGCATCGATTTTGATACAAAGTATGGCAGGCATCAACATGAAGAAGTGGAGATATTTCATTTAAAACTGTGATGTTACGATATTTTGTATTAATTTATCATCAAATTCTTCTTAAACGAAAACATCCTGATTTTTCTTCTCTTTTCTATTTACTATCTAAGCGTTTCACATTTTTGTTTTGACATCAACATATTATTGTTTTCTATCTCAAAAGTTTAATGGTTGACGACGAAAGAAAAAAGAAAATTCAAATGAAAATAAAGCAGAAAAGTTTCGAAGAATGATCGGTTTGGTGCAGAGATGTGGGGTTTGATCTAACTCAATATAGTCACCCGGTTTTTCTTATTTTCAATTTAACATTTACGCTCTAAATTCACATTTTATGTTTATTTTCTGCTCACGTTTGAAAATGTATACACTGAAGAGATTGAGGGACGGACACATTTTATGATTTATGAAAGGATTAATCATTAAGTCAAATCAGATGTAATCATATGAATATTTTGTTTTTCAACTCAGCGCATTTGTGTGGGTGAAGAGTGAAAATATATCTTAAATATGATGTGAGGATTTGTTCAAGTGAAACGTTTCATTTCCTTCTTGTATAAATCATCGTAAACCTACCATGTAATCTTGAGCTGTTGGTCGTCCATTTATTCCATCGCTGAAGCAGTCGGGGCTTTGTCGAATTGGTGGTGTATCCTAACGGAGAAAGATTTGTGAGTTTTTTCAGACTGTTTTTTAATCGTTTCCACATTTTTTCACCTGTAATAAATCTTCGAGACTTTCAATGTATTCTATTGCATTCCTGAGAATCTCCACCTTCGGTAGTCTTTGATTTGGATTCGTACTTGTTCGTCGCTTAAGTAACTCAAATGCTTCATTAACCTTTAATTATTTTTGTTTTCGTTCTATTAATTTTCCGACGGCAATTTTCTTTTTCTCTTCATTTTCCTACCTTTCGAAGTCTCCTCCTTTCTCTGAGTGTTGCCGCTTTTCTTCGATCGATTGTGACATTCTTCTTTTTGCATGCTTTGCATGCCCATGCTAGGCAAGGACGATTTTTTCCAGCCATGCAACGTGGTGCAAGTGTGTGTTCTTCATTTGATGCTGCTGAACTTATGCTACTACTATCGTCAATCATTTCAATTTGATGTGACATTAATCCACTCATTTTACTTTCTAGCATACTTGCTAAACTATCACTGTAAGGATTTTGACTAAGAGCACTTGTGTTTAAACGATTCACTTCATAATGCGCCTTTTTATATGTTTGCCTGTCACTTGCAAACTGATTTGCTTGTTCAAGTTGCTTTTTACAACTCATATTTTGATTGAATTTTGTCATTTTATATTTTTTCTTTTTTTTTTGCAAGGAAATGTTTTTTTTTTATTTGGAATAATTCCAACTTCAAGCTTAATAATCACTTTTCTTAACACAATTTTTCTTTTATTATTATCAAAAATTTTGTTGAAAAATTTCGATTTCTGAACTGAAACTGGCAAACTCTCTCGAACGACTAAAAAATATTAAAACGTCTGCGGATTCAAATAATGTTCTTCTTGTTTTGACTTGAGGATCACGAGTGTCTCTTGAACGCACATATGTGACAATTTTAAATGATCATCAAGAATCGTTTCTCTCAGTTTACAGTGTTGGGAAAATCTTCTCAGTAATTATGAGAGATTTTTCAGTTTCTTTTAGATTCCATCTGTGCATCTTGAAGAAAAGGAAGGAAAAGATGTCGCAATTTCAGTGTTTGAAGTGTTAAATATGATGAATTATTTGCTGTAATGACCACAACATAAACACAACTTCCGGTTAGAACCGATCATGTTTTATGGGTGGAGCTTCGTTTTCACTTTTCATACTCATGAAAATGATTTCTCTTTGAAGTTTTCGTTTAAATAAACATTTCGTTCGTTCTCTTCCCTCTCCCTCTCAGAATATTTTTTGGAAAATCAAAAGGAAATTTCAAAATTGTTTCATTATTTTTGTTGCACTGCTGCTTATCAAACCGAAATCATTTGCATTAAAACATATGTTTTTGAGAAACATAAATTTGCATAAAAGATTCTAAATCATGTGCATTTCCATGGTGCTTCAAATTCAGACACGGAAGTACCTAATCCATCGTATCTCATCTTGTGTGGCGTAGCAGTTTATTTTCATGATGCATGAGATTAAGAGATTCAACGTTTGTATAATAAATTTGAGATTTCATGTGCTGCAAATGAATTTATGATCATCATTTATATGCACAAAAAAGACATTTTCATGTTCGAGATGTCATCTAAAGATGGATGAATTTAAAATTCTTTTCATTTTTTAGCATTTCTAATCTTTTTACTAAGAATCTCTTTTTGAAACATTATTTGTACATACCTTCTTCATGCAAGCTATTAAATCTAAATTTTTCTTTTGATCTTGACACACCCGTGCTATGAACATCATTGAGCAAGTAAATCTCGTGCCAAATAAAAATAATAATAATTGAAACAACAACAAAAAGATTAAGACTAATGAAAGAGTTTTAGCAAGAAATTAAAAGCACTAAATGCTAGTTTAAGTGAGATAATTGTGAAAAAAATTCATCAAGCGTCAAGTTGTATTCTTGTTAATGATGGATGAATATTTTATTGATACTAAAACTTGTTTAACGACAAGAAATATATTTTAAGTAATGTTTGGAAATATTTGAAAAAAGATTCGGAAAATCAGGAAAAAGTGTTAAGAAATTATGAAGTTTATTTGAAGAATATTAATTATAAATAATTTATGTGAAACTCAGAAGTTATGTCGACAATATGACTATAAAAAGACTCGATCAAAAAGTTGACAAAGAAATTAAATGGATGAACGCATATTTAGTCGCTATGTTTAACTATGACGATGCATAAAATTCTTTAATGAAGAAAATATTTTCACTTCTTCGTTCATCAAATATGTTCAGTTCTTTGGTGAAGAGTAACTCAATAAGAATGTAGTTTCTAAAAATATTTTATTTTTTGCATTCTTCCATCAAATTTCAAGTTTTAATTAATAATTTAAAATGGGAATTTAATTGTTGAATATAAAAAGAACTTCAGAATGTTTATTCTATTAAAGTGTTAATGAAGTTATTAGCACATCACAATGTGCTTGGGCTGTTCCCAAAAATTACTTTCTTGTTAACGCCTTCAATAAGGAATTGATTGCGCTTAAGAAAAATGGAATGTTCAACTATTTGATCAAGAAATAAAAGGATCTTTGCATATTACAGCAACATCAAAGAACCTAAAACTGGTCCGGAAAAAGTTAATTTAGAATAACTTCTAGATGGATTTGAGTTGTTTGCTATTGGAATTTCTTTTGCTATTTAAATATTTTTGCTTGAAATTTTCTTTGGCTATTTTGGAACTCATTTAAGAAAGTTTACTGTGAGAAAGTTTAAATATAACTAGAAATGTCTTTTAAGTTAATTGGCAATTTGGTGGTCAAGAACCTCCACAAACAAGAAATTATCTTTATAAATATTTGCTTTTTAGTCATTTATAAACAGTATACATTGTAACAGAGAAATTTCAATAAAATCCTTTAATTTATTTGCACACTTTCAGTCTTCACGTCTTTTAGATTTTCTATGAAACTTCAATTTCTGTCGTTCTAAAATTCATACAATCTAATGATCAAAAAAAAGTTATTCTAATTAATTAGATGTTTTTAGACACAAGTTTTAATAGTGCTATAAAAACACCGCATCTTCCCTTCAAATCGACTTTAAATTTTGGAGACCACAGTCACGATAAACTTAAAAAAATATTCATAAGATGTTTGTGAAGAAATTATTTTAACTACCAGTTTTCCGTTTCACCATTTTCTATAAATAATCCCTTATTCAACATATTTTTTCTTGTCTTTTTAACTGGATTAACTATGAGTGTGAGTTGGAGTGTAATGGATAAAATAAAATTGTTAAAGTTATGGCATAATGTCACACGAAATGGTTATTTTTCTTTTTTGATTGTGAAGTTGAAAAGACATAAACATTAAACGAGAAAAAGAAAGCCGAATATAAATTTGAAAACTTATCAAATTTTTCATAAATTTTCAATAATAAGCAATGACGCTGTCAGCGTAGGCATCTTTGACAAACATAAAATCTCATGCTTCATATCAATTTGTTTCATAATTTACGATTATTGACAAGATTTTCAACGGTAAGATTTAGTTGCTATGAGATGGAAAGTCGTGATCAAGGCAAAGAAAATTCGAATGAATTATTGAATTGTTTTGACATTTTTTTCACGCTTAGAAATAACAAGCATGACACAGGGAAATAACTACAAGATTTTATTCGCAATATAAATGGCTATTGTTGTCTAAGCTGACTTTGGCTTATTATAAGCGACAACTTTTTAAATGCAATAAAACCGGCAAAAGGAAAAACTGGCAGCGTTCCAGGAACTGTGACGAGAGATCTGATATTCTCTCATGAATGAGTTTTAATTTAATGTTTTCAAGTTTCACAATTTTTATTTCTCGTCATAAAGTGAGTTTCCTCAACAGGAGATGCAAATAAAATGCAATTTAATGAGCATTTATTCCATTAAACCATAAACTGTTTGTAGCATAAAAAATGTTACTCTTATGGGAAAATAAATACGAAAAAATTGTCGACTTGCGATCTGAATCATTTCTTAACGAACATCTGATCTTTGTTCATCTGCTTTCCAAATGTTCACTCACTCAAATTTTGACCAACATTCTTGATGAGTTACTTTGGTTAAAAGAAATTGTAAATTATGCAGAAATACTGGAGACAAATATGACTCAATGTAAACTAATTGTGTTTCTCGCCACTACCCATGACGCAACATATCACCATAACGAAGAAAAGATAAATTTCATTTGTCTAGAAAATTTAAAAAATGTAAAGTTCATGCTCACAATCTGAGGCATGTCATGTCGCATTAATCTCGCCTCGCGCGCGAGATATTGTTACAAAAAAGAAATCTTTTTCAAAAACTCTTTTTCATCATACATTTAAGGTTTTCTAAATTGTGGTTTTGTCTTTTTTTTTGATCGCTAGGAAAAAAATTTATTGTGTCGCATAATTAACTCAACATTTAACGTCATTTCTTCGTCTTCATGCTAATTTTTTAACGAACTGCAAATTTATAAATTTATAGTTTAATGAAGCTTTGTCATTGTATATTTAAAATTTATTTAATAGCAAATAGAAAAGGATGCAACTACTTAACTTTGGTCTCTTGACATGTTGAGAAACACAGAATTTAATGGATTTAATGTGTTAATATTTACGTGAAAGATCTACACACATATATCAGAAAAACAGATGACAAACGCTTCTAAGCTCATCCCGCACATATTGCCAGTTCTTTCAGAAAATCTACTCGTGTTTATGAAACAGTTTTAAGAATATTTTTGTTTTCTTTTTATGAATTATCACATGAAGGGACATCATCGATAATTTATGTATGATTTGAAATAGCTTTGTTTACATAGATAAATAAAAGATTTCTTTCTGTCGACAGCACTAAATAACTTGACCGATAAAGTTTTATTATTCACTCATTAAAACTCGCTACAACTTAAAAAAATATTTAAAAGCATAAATGTTTATTAATTTGTTGATTGAAGTCATCAACTTTACCACGTAGAAGTTTCTTATACAATTTCAGTTTAGATTTCAAGCATGCCGCATTTGTTTTGTTAGGCGTTGGCAGATAATTTTCTACACTAATCCTTCTGAAGATGCTCGCACGCCCTTTTAACTCAATTTCAAAAGTGTCAAATTTCATTACTTCCAATATTTAAAATGCATAAAGATGTTCATGTTCTCGACTCATCCTACATATTTGTAATTAGTCGTGTAACATTTACAACGCCCGAAGTATCTCAATCGTGTTTCCTTTTTTAGTTTCCACATCAGATTTTGCTGTTATTTTTATTTTTATATTTACTTCATGACGATTCTTTTCTTAGGGTCGCTTTATGTGTAACATATTCTGTTTTATTACCAAGATTTTAGAGACTTTATCTTTAGTGTAACAAATACAAAATATTTGAATAGAAAAAGAATTAATTAACTATTAAATTGTTTCGAAACAAACATTTTATTGCTTCTTGTTTCATTTCAATATAATTGAAACTTGGATTACATTTTTCATGTCATTGCAAATGGTTGGAAATCAAACCTTGTGTAGTCTCTACACGCAACTCTTGGATTTGTTGGAGATTCAACAATCAACCAGTTCTTTGGAACAAACTCGACGTTGGTATTTTGACAGATCAAATGGTTGAATGTGAATGAATCAATTGCGTGAATTTGAGAGTCGGTGAAAGGATGTGGATTCACCTTATGCGTGTAGAAGTAAACGTCACCTCCAACAGATCGTTGATATTGATGACCAATGACATATCCCAAAGTCTCTCCAACAAGAACTTCATCCAGACTTGAGAATGTTTCCAACATAGCGCCAACATAAAGATCAATGTCTTCAACATCTTCATAAACCGATTTCAATAATTCAACATTATGTTGTGGAAAGATTTCAGTTAAATCGTCGAAAGTTTTGAAATCAGCTTTGAATCCACTTTTTCGTCTTGCATCTAAAAATGTTGGCAAACCGTGATCACGTCCTATCAAAGAAAAAGAAAAGTTTTAAGTGAAAATGAATGAAAGGAAAATTGAGAATTTCATTTTTCACCTCTTTGAATATCAATTGAGAGAAGATCGAGTCCCATTCCATCTTTATTCTTTGCAAATCTGTTGAATATCTTTAAAAATTTTAACACTTTAATTACAATTTTGAAACAAATCACGAAATTAATTTACAAACCTCTTCTGAGTAATTCAAATAATTGACTGGCTGTTGTAAAAGTCCACGAACTGTTGCTTCGAAATAATTTTCTACCAAGTCAAGTCGTCCTAAAGTTTCAGAATGAGGAACTTTCTCAGTGGTTCCTGTTTCATCAATCAACAACATCTCAGGTTGAAGATAAAAATGTCCAATACGATAAGCAGTTGAAAATTCAAGAGAAGTTGAAGCATCAAAGTTTTCTTTGTATGTTTCGTTGATTCGCTTTTTGAAAATAGTTTCAATGATTCGTCCCGAGAAGATTCCGCTGTGGAAAATTGCGATGTTGATTCTTCGAGCTTCTTGGAAGAGCGTTTCATCGTCCCATTGAGGGTTGACAGCAGCTAAACCTTCAGCAAGTTTATTGTGATTTCTTGCAAAAATTGATGGCCAAACAGCTCCAATTGGCGCAACTGCTAAACGAAGACTACTTTGTAAGTAATTTCCAAATCTATCAGTTGGCAAAACTTTATTTGATGGGATTCTCAATTTACCACTGGAGAAAGTTCTGATTTTCCTTGTGTCGAGATCTTCACTTCCATACACAATTGAATGATCGATGTACGATGTAGCTTTGTTGAGAATCTCACCATTTTGAAGAGTGCAAGGGGATGAAGATTGTTGAGCACGAACCATGTTCAAACATTTCACATTTGCTTTCCTATAAAACGGATCATTCTCAGGAACTGTGACTGGTAAACAAGCAGAATGTGAAAATTCTGGTGCCAAAACGTTTTTGTTTCTGTTGGAACAGCATCTGATGTTTTCATTGTCATAGCTTCCTTCAATTGGTGCTTGGAATGCCATGTCATGAGTCAGATAAAGAACGAGCATATTGATGAGAGTGTTCGGAGTTTGAGTTGGTGGATTTGCTTTTTGAGCTTGCAGCAAAACTTTCGTTACAATCTTCCTTGGACTTGGCAAGTCATTTCCCATCACGCTTTTTCGAATGGAATGAATTCCATCTTCATAAGCTTTAGCACCAAAACGACTGAATGGAGTTCCTGAAGTTCCCCAGAAGGGATTTTTCAAATTGTTTCCAAATCCATCTATGGAACGATATTTGGAATGAGAAGTCAATGTCAAGTTTCGGCAATGTAAACATTTGGCATAGTTTAAAATTGAATTAACATCAATGTCTTCTCTATCTCGAAGCAAACCAGCAACAGTTGTGATTGTTTCAGCATTTCTATTTTCAGCACCAGAATTGATCAAATTTGCACCTGGTTCTGTATAACCGATGTCGTCATCTTGCATTATGAATCCACTGGCTTGTAAATTTCTTTCATTTACTCGGCGCATGGATGTGATCGTCCTAGCGTCATTGAAGATTGATAAGAATTTCGTGCAACTGTGAATAACATAAAAGCGACATTTTAATTAAAAATTATTCAAATTATGGTTTTATAATTTACAATCAGATTCACTTTAAAAACTCTCTCAAAAAGTTCAATGAATGTTTTTACCGATACAAAGTATCGACCAACTGATAACGTAGTCAAATATGAAATAAATTATTTAATTAAGTTTATTTTACCTGCAAGTAGGAGATTTCCTTGAATTTGATATTGTTTCTGTCGATTCACTTCCTGGATATGATTCTTTATTTATTTCGTTTCCTTTATTATTTTGCTGTTGATTTTCTCCCAATAGTCGAATGTGCTTCTTTCCTGGACCATACAATTTGGCACTCATCTTAACACCAATCCATCGATCTCTTGAATTAGGAAGAGAATTGGCTGCACCTGGTTCTGCTTGGGATGGATATTTGTAGTGTTCATTTAAATCTGAAGCCGAGTGATGATATTGCAGTCCATGTTGTTGGCGACTTTTGAGTAAGTTTTGAACATTCTGATGAAAGGAATTTTGTCTTTCATCGGCATGACTGACAAATGCGAGAACTTGACATAATAATTTTAAATTGAATTAAATGGTTACGAATTCATCTAGGTAATTATGAATGTGTACCTGACAAGCAAATTGCTATTAAAAGTAGCTTCATCCTTTTTTGATGTTTATTCACCTAATTAAATTGCAAAACTGAAGAGCATCGCATCAAAGCTCCAAAGTTTTATATTAATTAAAACTGTTTATATTTCTCCCACCAGTTCGCAATCATAAAAAAAATTGAAACTTTTTGTCTCACTCTCATCATCGCACTTTTTTGATTACACAAATTCATAAATCAACACTCCTTAAATGCAATTTTGTAGTTATCTAGAATGTTCAAAAGTGATAATCGTCACGATTTAAGTAATCACACTGCACTGGTCAATTTCACATTTCTTTTAAAACAGAAAAATATTTTTAAATCGCGTGATTTTTCAAGACATTCGGAATTCTTTTATAATTTAATCTAAAATTAAGGCACGTTTATTGATTTCATTGGTGAAGATTATTTTCAGTTTGAAATAAAATTTTCATAACGTTAGAATGTGTCACATTTAAAGCATAGAACGGCTGCTTATGTTTGTTCTTCTTTTGAAGTATTTTAAAGAAGATTTAACGGAAATTTGTTTTCACTTCACCACATTTTTCGAATCCCTGTAGAATTAAATATCTAACAAGCAAGTTTTAAAGTACAAGAGCTATAAATTATCCATAAGTGGATTGTCGAACTTCCATGACTCTTCTTCCTTTAAAACTCTTTAGAGAATTTTTTTCTTACCTAATGGATAAGTTATCAACTGATAAGTTTTCAAGTTGCAGAAATCTATTGAGAATTATCTTGAATTCATTAAGCAGTAATGTTGAAGAAATTAAAAGCGATCTTTCAATTAAGTGTTAATGTTTTATTTATGTTTTGAACAATACTTATTTATTGCAATTGTAATAAGCAAACAATTTATTTTAACAAATAAATTCTCATGGTGTAACTTGTAACAGTCCAAACTCACGTGACTTTTGAACCATTCCAATCAATGATTGCATAACTTCATCAGCATTTGGGATGATAAATTCTGGAGGTAAGAAGAATCCGTATCTACCATAGTCGCCATTTCCTCTCATCTCATACGTGAAGCCTACTGGAATGTCGTATTTGCCGAAGAAGTGATCAACACTTGTTCCTGATGTTGCATCTAAATTTTAAAACATTGTTAACAAAAAAATTCAAAGATGAAATAAATATATTTACATACATAATATACGTTTTGAATTGCCAACATCATAAATAGTTGAGTGAACTGAATAAAGTCTAGCAGCAGCTGCATCGCCAATATCTTGAATCATTTCAACGTTAGGCTATTTAAAATCAAATTTCAAAGTTAGTATTATTATATCCAAATTTTATAAAAAGATAAATTCTACATGAACTTACTACTGGCTCAAGTGTGTTTCCAAAGGGATAAAGGAGAACATGGGCATAGGAATGGAATGCAAGATAAATATCAAATTGGTCATGAACTTGACTGAAATAGTTTTCAACTGCTGTGGTTTCAGGTTCAGAGAAAGCCGAGGGACCAGCATAAGTGTCACTGCAAGGAATTTTTGAAGCTCCCAAATCTCCAGTTTCATCTGCTGTTAAAAAGTTAAAGGCAAAGTTTCTGTTTCCATCGACACCGTCGCAAGTCAATGACACTGGTGATCTCGTTTTTCTCCAATTTCTATTGCTTGTTCGAGTGTATTCATAACCATCGGGATTCATTATTGGTATAATGTACCAGTCGACATTCAATGCAATATCCTGAACTTCTGGGTCATTTGAATAAAGAAACTCATTGAGAATGTAAGTTGCAGTAGCCCCAGCTATCCATTCCCGTGCGTGGATTTGTGCTTCGATAAATATTGCTCGGTTATTCTATCAGTTGAACAAAAGATAATTAATTTTGATTACACATTTTCACAATGTTTATAGGTACCTGTTTTTTTGATAACTTAACAACTTTTATTGTGCGACCTTCATAACTTAATCCAATGTCTTCAACAGTAATAAACTCTGGGAAATCTCTTTGAAGAAAACCAATCCATTCATAGATCGTCTCGAGGCTCTGATAATCATCCCAATTCATGTCACCTTCTTCCTTTCGTTGACGTCTTGGCTGTGTTTTATCCATAACTCTAAATCAGAAAAATTAGTTAAGCTTAAAGCACTTATGAAGTTAAAGTTCAAACTTACTCTTGTAAATTCTCATGAATTAAAATTGTTCGAAATGTGAATTTGTTGATAATTTCGTCATAATGTGCAAATTGATGAGGTGGAACCACAATTTCAACATTTTCTCCAACATGAGTGGGTGAATCCCAAAAACTGTACTAAAATATAAACACGATGTGAGTGAATTAAGTAAATAGCACTTGAATTTTAAAGGTTCTGTACCGAGTCACTTGTTTGCTCTATTTCTTTTAAAACACTGAGCTGAACATTATTGTCAATGTTGATGCTGTACACTCGATAATTATCAAATCGTGCCTTTTCACATGACCCAATTGTGAACGAAAATATTAATAAAATAATTTCTACGAACAATTTCATTTTTAATTCGATCGAACTCAGAAATCAAACAGCAATGAGAACTGAAATGATTTTGTATCGACATTTTAAGAACGTCTTATCGATTTAATTACCAGTATCATAATTTTTATTATATTCATTTAATAAATTTAAGATAAGATTTAAGTTTGCGTAATCTTAAGTGGCAGGGAATTTTCCAAATCTTTATTAATTATTGATAATGAAGTTTATCGCTTAATTACCTATTTATGTGTACAATCATAATGTATTAAGTGTTAAATGTGATTGTTTCAAATAATATCATCAAAATGCTGATATTTTCACAGGGTTTAGTGTGATTTAGGTGTTTACAATTGCTGCTGATGATTAAGGCGAAGCGATTAAAAACCCATATTCACGAGCTTTTGAAACAAGTCCAATCAGTCCATTCAACACTTCCATTGCATTTACACTAATAAAGTTGCTTGGTAGAAAGAATCCGTAATTGCCGTAAGGGCCATTTCCTCTCATTTCTATTGTGTAGGCGATGGGAATGTTGTGTTGACCATACATGTGGTCGATACTTGGACCCGATGATGGATCTACATAAATTTTCATTCACAATGTATTAAGAAAATGTTCAATTATTCATCTTACATAAGACTTTGTTCCAATTGCCAACAGTATATTGAATCTCGTCAATAAGATAAGTTTTAGCAGCCATAGCATCTCCAATATCTTGAAGCATTTCATAATCAGTCTGAAATTTAAAAAAAAATCTTAATAATTTGTTTAACTTATTTTGTGTTGAACTCACGACATTATAAATTGTGTGACCAAATGGATAAAGAATTAAATGACCATATGAATGAAATGAGAGATAAACATCAAACTTTTCTCTTATCGATGCAATGTACGTTTCTAGTGCTAAAGTTTCAGGTTCACTGAATGCCGACGGACCAGCATAAGTGTCACTGCAAGGAATTTTTGAAGCTCCCAAATTTCCAGTTTCATCTGCTGTTAAAAAGTTATAAGCAAAGTTTCTGTTTCCATCGACACCGTCGCAAGTCAATGACACTGGTGATCTCGTTTTTCTCCAATTTCTATTGCTTGTTCGGGTGTATTCATAACCATCGGGATTTGTGATAGGGATGATGTACCAGTCAACATTCAATGCAATATCCTGAATTTCAGGGTCATTTGAATAAAGAAACTCATTGAGAACATAAGTTGCAGTAGCCCCAGCTATCCATTCCCGTGCGTGGATTTGTGCTTCGATAAATATTGCTCGGTTATTCTATCAGTTGAACAAAAGATAATTAATTTTGATTACACATTTTCACAATGTTTATACCTGTTTTTTTGATAACTTAACAACTTTTATTGTGCGACCTTCATAACTTAATCCAATGTCTTCAACAGTAATAAACTCTGGGAAATCTCTTTGAAGAAAACCAATCCATTCATAGATCGTCTCGAGGCTCTGATAATCATCCCAATTCATGTCACCTTCTTCCTTTCGTTGACGTTTTGGTTGTTGGTCATCAATGAATCTGTAAGCAAAAACTTCTTCAAGTAGAAAAGAATTAATGAAATCATACCTTTGAAGATTATCGATTTNCAAAGATGAAATAAATATATTTACATACATAATATACGTTTTGAATTGCCAACATCATAAATAGTTGAGTGAACTGAATAAAGTCTAGCAGCAGCTGCATCGCCAATATCTTGAATCATTTCAACGTTAGGCTATTTAAAATCAAATTTCAAAGTTAGAAATTTTGTAAAAAGATAAATTCTACATGAACTTACTACTGGCTCAAGTGTGTTTCCAAAGGGATAAAGGAGAACATGGGCATAGGAATGGAATGCAAGATAAATATCAAATTGGTCATGAACTTGACTGAAATAGTTTTCAACTGCTGTGGTTTCAGGTTCAGAGAAAGCCGAGGGACCAGCATAAGTGTCACTGCAAGGAATTTTTGAAGCTCCCAAATCTCCAGTTTCATCTGCTGTTAAAAAGTTAAAGGCAAAGTTTCTGTTTCCATCGACACCGTCGCAAGTCAATGACACTGGTGATCTCGTTTTTCTCCAATTTCTATTGCTTGTTCGAGTGTATTCATAACCATCGGGATTCATTATTGGTATAATGTACCAGTCGACATTCAATGCTATATCCTGAATTTCAGGGTCATTTGAATAAAGAAACTCATTGAGAATGTAAGTTGCAGTAGCCCCAGCTATCCATTCCCGTGCGTGGATTTGTGCTTCGATAAATATTGCTCGGTTATTCTATCAGTTAGACAAAAGATAATTAATTTTGATTACACATTTTCACAATGTTTATACCTGTTTTTTTGATAACTTAACAACTTTTATTGTGCGACCTTCATAACTTAATCCAATGTCTTCAACAGTAATAAACTCTGGGAAATCTCTTTGAAGAAAACCAATCCATTCATAGATCGTCTCGAGGCTCTGATAATCATCCCAATTCATGTCACCTTCTTCCTTTCGTTGACGTTTTGGTTGTGTTTTATCCATAACTCTAAATCAGAAAAATTAGTTAAGCTTAAAGCACTTATGAAGTTAAAGTTCAAACTTACTCTTGTAAATTCTCATGAATTAAAATTGTTCGAAATGTGAATTTGTTGATAATTTCGTCATAATGTGCAAATTGATGAGGTGGAACCACAATTTCAACATTTTCTCCAACATGAGTGGGTGAATCCCAAAAACTGTACTAAAATATAAACACGATGTGAGTGAATTAAGTAAATAGCACTTGAATTTTAAAGGTTCTGTACCGAGTCACTTGTTTGCTCTATTTCTTTTAAAACACTGAGCTGAACATTATTGTCAATGTTGATGCTGTACACTCGATAATTATCAAATCGTGCCTTTTCACATGACCCAATTGTGAACGAAAATATTAATAAAATAATTTCTACGAACAATTTCATTTTTAATTCGATCGAACTCAGAAATCAAACAGCAATGAGAACTGAAATGATTTTGTATCGACATTTTAAGAACGTCTTATCGATTTAATTACCAGTATCATAATTTTTATTATATTCATTTAATAAATTTAAGATAAGATTTAAGTTTGCGTAATCTTAAGTGGCAGGGAATTTTCCAAATCTTTATTAATTATTGATAATGAAGTTTATCGCTTAATTACCTATTTATGTGTACAATCATAATGTATTAAGTGTTAAATGTGATTGTTTCAAATAATATCATCAAAATGCTGATATTTTCACAGGGTTTAGTGTGATTTAGGTGTTTACAATTGCTGCTGATGATTAAGGCGAAGCGATTAAAAACCCATATTCACGAGCTTTTGAAACAAGTCCAATCAGTCCATTCAACACTTCCATTGCATTTACACTAATAAAGTTGCTTGGTAGAAAGAATCCGTAATTGCCGTAAGGGCCATTTCCTCTCATTTCTATTGTGTAGGCGATGGGAATGTTGTGTTGACCATACATGTGGTCGATACTTGGACCCGATGATGGATCTACATAAATTTTCATTCACANCACAAGCTCCACATAATGTATTAAGTGTTAAATGTGATTGTTTCAAATAATATCATCAAAATGCTGATATTTTCACAGGGTTTAGTGTGATTTAGGTGTTTACAATTGCTGCTGATGATTAAGGCGAAGCGATTAAAAACCCATATTCACGAGCTTTTGAAACAAGTCCAATCAGTCCATTCAACACTTCCATTGCATTTACACTAATAAAGTTGCTTGGTAGAAAGAATCCGTAATTGCCGTAAGGGCCATTTCCTCTCATTTCTATTGTGTAGGCGATGGGAATGTTGTGTTGACCATACATGTGGTCGATACTTGGACCCGATGATGGATCTACATAAATTTTCATTCAAAATGTATTAAGAAAATGTTCAATTATTCATCTTACATAAGACTTTGTTCCAATTGCCAACAGTATATTGAATCTCGTCAATAAGATAAGTTTTAGCAGCCATAGCATCTCCAATATCTTGAAGCATTTCATAATCAGTCTGAAATTTAAAAAAAAATCTTAATAATTTGTTTAACTTATTTTGTGTTGAACTCACGATATTATAAATTGTGTGACCAAATGGATAAAGAATTAAATGACCATATGAATGAAATGAGAGATAAACATCAAACTTTTCTCTTATCGATGCAATGTACGTTTCTAGTGCTAAAGTTTCAGGTTCACTGAATGCCGACGGACCAGCATAAGTGTCACTGCAAGGAATTTTTGAAGCTCCCAAATTTCCAGTTTCATCTGCTGTTAAAAAGTTAAAGGCAAAGTTTCTGTTTCCATCGACACCGTCGCAAGTCAATGACACTGGTGATCTCGTTTTTCTCCAATTTCTATTGCTTGTTCGGGTGTATTCATAACCATCGGGATTCATTATTGGTATAATGTACCAGTCGACATTCAATGCAATATCCTGAACTTCAGGGTCATTTGAATAAAGAAACTCATTGAGAACATAAGTTGCAGTAGCCCCAGCTATCCATTCCCGTGCGTGGATTTGTGCTTCGATAAATATTGCTCGGTTATTCTATCAGTTGAACAAAAGATAATTAATTTTGATTACACATTTTCACAATGTTTATAGGTACCTGTTTTTTTGATAACTTAACAACTTTTATTGTGCGGCCTTCATAACTTAATCCAATGTCTTCAACAGTAATAAACTCTGGGAAATCTCTTTGAAGAAAACCAATCCATTCATAGATCGTCTCGAGGCTCTGATAATCATCCCAATTCATGTCACCTTCTTCCTTTCGTTGACGTTTTGGTTGTTGGTCATCAATGAATCTGTAAGCAAAAACTTCTTCAAGTAGAAAAGAATTAATGAAATCATACCTTTGAAGATTATCGATTTTTAACTCTAATTTGAATGAAAATTTCTTGATAATTTCATGAAAATCTGCAAATTTATGAGGCGGAACCACAACATCAACTTTTTGATGAATTTTTTGAGTTGAGTCCCAGAACAAATACTGAAAGTCATAAATGTTTTAAATTTTAAGTTAAAGCTACATATTGCAATAATAAAGTTTTTACAGAGTCGCTGGTAGCTTCTAATTCCTGTAGAACTTGCGATTGTATTTCATTTTCAATTTCAATGCTATAAACTCGATAATTATCAAATCGAGCTATTTCTAAATTTACAAAGCTGAAAAAGAAAATTACGAGAAGTAATCTTAACTTCATGGCGGTTTGGTAAATACTGAATTCAATTATCAACTTAATAAAATTTTACCAACTTCATTGCAGGTAATAAAAGATAAGAATTTATTTTATTCCAATATATCCACAATCTTAAGTGAAATGAAAAAATCTAATAAAGAAGATATGTGATATGTATGTAAGAAAATCTGAAAAACTGGGGGAAAGTGTCAATAATTAGGTATGGAAAATAATTAGATATTAAACAACAATTGTATAATGCAAATTTACTATTTCAAGTTGAATCATCGCTCATTTTCTCTGAAATCGGAGTCTTTTACACAAAACATTTCATTCAGGCGGCTGAAAATTAAGCCTGATACTGCTGTTCAAATTTGAATTTTCCCGCAAAAAAAAATGTGAACGCGCCTTGTTCTTTATAAAATCGGCGTTATTTATTTCTCGCTACTTAATAAAATTTAAAATTACCGCTAAATTCGGAAAAAGGGTTTTCTTAAATAACAAGAAAATTACAATAATAACTGAAAGTTACTTTTTAAGTATAAAGGTAAGCTGATTGGATAAGATTTTAATGTATTATTTTTAAAATTTTACAAATTCGTTGAGTTTTCCCTCCAATGTTTTAACTTTCTCTTATAAGAAGATAATTTTGTTAAGTTTGAAATGCTTCAAGGATTTAATTGGACAAAATATTGTTGATTAATAAATTAACATTTCTGAAATTAAGAAGATTTCGTGGTGGAATCTTATCATGTTAAGTAAAAATAACAATATTTTTAGAAAAAGAAGCAAAATACCCCCAATATCCTTCCCAAAATTCCATACAAAATGTGCAAGGGTTTTTGTTTATGATGTCTCGGGAAAATTGCCTCGTACCCCGACGGTTCGCGCGGATTTGACCTTCCATACAAAAAAATGAGAAATGATTCGTGTGAACATTTTTTTCCGTGTGAACATTTCGATGACAGCGCCACCACTGAAACTAGAGAGAGTGAAAAGATCAATCAAAGTTCACTTTGATTCCGTGCACGAGATTTATTTCCGACCACGAGATTTGCGATGGCAGCGCCGCCAATGATTAAAACTCTGAGAACTCAGAAAATATTAATCAATAAAAAAAATTAAATAAAACGCTTTGAGCGAAAAGATTAATTTTATCATACAAATTAGGTTTAGAGTCTTTTTAAACTACCCTTAGGTGTTACCAAAAACAGAAGTATATAATTCTTTGTTATTAAGTTCATATTGATTTTCTGTTTTTACCAGAATATTTTTGAATTCAAATTCAAAACCAAATTCAAACTGTTCTCATGTTAATTTCAGCTAAAAGTGTATAATTGACAAAACAACTACTTTAAGATACATAAGAAAAGGCAAAATTTTATCAAAATGGCATCGACGCAAAGAATAGGTAAATTAAGAATTTAAAAGTTAATGTCATAAATATGTAAACAAATGAATTATTATCATCTCATCATAAAGTAACAAAAACTGACGATGGACGATACGTTATAATAAATCCTGATGGTCGTTCGGTACCTTTAAAGCTAGCAAACTCTCAAAAAGAAACATCAGAACCGAAGAAATATATCGTTAAATGTGAGTTGAAGTTTTTCTTGTTTGATTCTGATTAGATATTAACGAATTTTATAATAATTATAGCGAGTTCTGGTCAAGTGATTGTTGCATCACAAGGAGGTGTGAAAACTGAAAAACCTTCAACATCATCGTCCATTGTTGGCACAGCATCAAGCATCACAATTGGAAAGAAAGCTCAGCCTTCATCAAATGTCATTAAAATCACTTCACCAACATCTCCAACTGGAAAAAATGTTCAAGTTGTTCGTGTTCTCAATTCAGGTGCTTCATCGTCAGGAACACAAAAAGTTATACAAGTTCCGCGGTCAAATGCTCCTCGTATTTTGAATCAGTCAATAGGAACATCAGATGTAAAGGAAGAGCAGTCGCAACGTCCAGTCACTGTCGTTCGAAAAGTCATTAGTGACTCTGAAGATTCTCCTCCAGTCAAGAAGACCAAGTATATCACTCTGACGACATCCCAGATAAATCAAATTGAAGGAGCTACAATAATGGGTGGAGGAAAATCAAAACGAATTGTAATGTTGCCTTCAAACTATCGTGAGCAGTTGGAAAAGATCTCAACTCGTCCAACTCAAGCTACGAGTGGACAAACAACATTTAAAATTGTTCAAGAAACAAGATCGCCACCATTGGAAATCGATCCAGTCAATCAATTTTCTGTTGGACGCAAATCAAAACGTCCATGTAATTGTACAAAGTCGCAATGCTTAAAATTCTATTGCGATTGCTTTGCAGCTGGCGAATACTGTTCAGGCTGCAATTGCAAAGACTGTCTTAATGAACATGACAGTGAAGAACGAGAAAGAGCCGTTAAAATGTGTATGGAAAGAAATCCGTTTGCTTTCAAGTAAGTTTAGTAACCATTGTGGAATTTCTGTGACGTAACTTTTATTCACTCTTTCCAAATTTAGATCGAAAGAAGCAACTGAAGAACAACAACGTTTACATCAGCGAGGTTGTAATTGTAAACGATCAGGGTGTTTGAAGAACTATTGCGAGTGCTACGAAGCAAAAATTTCTTGCTCGGCCAACTGCCGATGTTTGGGTAAGTAAATTCAGAAAATATTTTGAATGATTTTAATTGTTTGTCATTTTATAGGCTGCAAAAACGTCGATGACGTTGATGAAAAGATGGAAATGGAGCTTCAGTATTTGAAACAATGTGGAAAACGTGGACAATTTAATGAAGAGATTTATGAAAAGAATCTTGCAGCGCTTAAGAAAGTCACCGATTTAAATGAAATTGTAAAGAAACCATACAATTTCATGACACAAGATGTCATCGAAGCAACCGTTCAATGTATGATTGCTCAAGCTGAAGAATGTGAAAAGATTAACGTGACAAAGAAACAAGGCGAGAAAATGATTCTCGAAGAATTCAGTCGATGTCTTCAAGAAATTATTGAGTTCTCTGCAAAAAATATTGATTAAGTTGTCCTAGAAGGTTGTTCTTTTCTTCAACAATTTTCATTTTTCATTTCTTTATTTTAAGCACATTTCTTCATCTTTTTTCTTGAAAATAAGTTTAGAAAATATTTCATTGTATAACCAAGAATAGAAAGAATAAAACTTTATCGAAATTTATTCGCTGTCGTCGTCCATCGTCACTTCCTGTGTTGATCCAGTAACAGGTTCGTTTGTAAAAGTACTTTTAACGCTATCTAAATCAATTAGATTTGTGACCATGAAATTCATTTTTTTCTTGTCACCACCGAGTGCAATTATAAAATTATTTTCAGGAATTTCAGCAAGACAATGAATTCTTCCAAGTTTAAAATGATGTGAATGAACTGGATGACATGATGTTGAGTCGTATTTCCATATTTTCACCAGACAATCAACAGACGACGATGTAAGCATGTTAGGTGCAGTTTTATTGAAACCAAAGTCTGTTATTTCCTTCTCATGTGCGTCAATTGTCCAAAGTGGCTCCGTTGTTCGTGAATCAAAGTAATGAATTTTACCAGTGTTAGTTCCAGCTACAAAATTATATTTTTCATTGGGATTCCATTTAACTTTTTCAACTTCTCCTTCGACGATCCATTGCTTGTATTGAGATCCTTCGTTGTCGCTTTGACGGCAATCAAAAAGTTTGATTGTGTTGTCGCTGCTTCCAGTTAAAAGATATTCTCCTTCTGACGGATTGAATTCTAACGTTTGAACTTTCTCAGCGAAGTCTTTGAGAATAGTTGATGGTGTTGCGTTTTCCAGATCCCATAAGATTACAGTTTGATCGACAGAAGCACTGGCGAGAATGTGTTGAAAGTTTGGATTCCATGCCAAGTCAAGAACAGCATCCTTGTGACCGATTCTTTTGATATTCTTTTTCTTACTTGGTTTCTTTCCTAATTCCATGACAGGTTCTAATGGTTGATGAATGTCTAAATCATATATGTGGATTATTGGCTCCATTCCTCCAATAGCACAAAGATTTCCAGGTTGTTGACTTCCAGGATCGTAACTGAATGGTTCAACACATAATATGTGAAATGGCAACATAAAATCATGATGAACATAAAGGGAATTTTCTTCCTCATTAAAAGTGTAAACTTCAAGTGACGAGCAATCTTTTTCAACTCTTCCAACAAGGCAAAGATTGTCTGATAGTTTAATTATATCATCCTCAGCATCGGAGTCATTTTCTGAGTCTCCTATTCGATCATCTTCTGTCACCTCGACAATATCTGACATCTTCAAGACTTGTTCGGACTTTTCTTTGTCATAATTGTCAAAGTTAAATTCATCTTTTCCAGTTTGTTGTGATGGTTCACATTGCGGTTGAGATGAAACTTTTTCATCATCTTCATTAGAGTCACTGTCGTCATCATCTATTTGACCTGATGTTGATGGACCTCCAAACATTTCTTGAAAAACTTGGGGATTTAAATTTGGTTTTACTCCCTTCAAGAAATTAATAAAATTATTAAATCAACCGGAATTAAAGAAATATTTAGGTTAAAAAACACGATTAACTTACATCTGCAATACTTTTAGATGCAGCGATGCCTCTTTTCACTACCTTAATACATGGTACAAAAAACACATCAGGTTGGGAATCTTCAAGTTCATCATTGATTTCCATTATGTTCTTTTTAAAAACTTCTCATTTAGGGCGAATATCGACGATCAACAAAAGTGTGTGAGTTCGGACTAAACATCAAAAATCCGTAGTCCGTAATCGGGCGCGAAATTCAAATTTAATCCTGATTTATAATCTCGATTTAAGTTTTAATCCTAATCCTCAAATGTTAATCCTTTTCAATGCTAAACAATTTTTAAATTCTTTGTAATGACATTAATTGAAGAATTAATTTTCTCTGCTTTCATTTCTAATGGATAGTTATTCACTTCAAGTTATTTTTAAATTATTTCCGATTCTATTTTAGTAACAAAGAAGCTGACCAATATTTCATTTCAAACTTGATATTTTCTACTTTTTCCATTTAAAGACAAATGAACAGTAACATGACGAATGTTTTTACGAGACATGAACAATCGTGTGTACCACATCCTTATAATATTTAAGACGTACTTGAACTCTAGAAAAAACATGTATTGCTTCGTAATAATCATATGATTCCTTTTCGTATTCTTTTCAATTCATGAATTTCCCACGACATTGAAAGACGAAAATGCCTCGTCATAACTTTTGAAACGGCATTCGAATACGATCACAGAGAAATTCTTTTTACACTAATGCAAATGAAAATCTTCTCTGATGATGGAAAATTGCGAAGAAAAACCTTCCATTTTACATCTCTGAGATTTCCTCTAGATAATGTGTGTGAATGTGTTTTATTTTTGTGTGGGCTATAAAAGAATGATCTTCATCTCTTTGAACAGGTATTCCGCTTGTGAACTCCAATCCAATTTGAAGTTATAGAAAATTCTCCGCGAGTTTTCCATCTGCATATTTGCATCTGTGTATATTGTGAAAGTTACTAAAGTTTTCTTTTTAATCACAAAATATGGCCCCACCTTCTGGTCGTCCTTTGTGGCAAGTAAGTGAAAATTAAAAACTGAAAAAAGAGTCTGAGGTTATTAAAATTTGAAAAGATTGTAAAAGTTGAATGTCGAAGTGATATTTAAGAGGAATTTTGCCACATAATTGAACTTTTCAAAGTTTGTGTCGTAAATTGCAAAAGCAACTGTGAGGTTAACTTGTGTTTTCAAGATTTTAACGCCTTCATAGCATGACAATTATCTATTAGTGATGACTCATGTCAGATTTTTTTTGGGTGGAAAAATGTGAAAATCGCAAACTCTATGTAAACAACGTGTTCGGTCAAGTTTTCTGTAAAAGAAGATGATGAGACTCTCGCTGATTATTTTGCATTTATTTTTAGATGGCAAAATAAACAGTTGGCGTCGTTCACATGTGGCATTCTTGATAGTTCATTTTGGAAAGCATTATCCAGTTGGTTAGAATGTTAAATGTGTCTGATTTTGAAGAAAAGTGTTCCTCAACTTTATATAGAAAAGAAAAACTGCAAATTCAGATTATAATTAACTTTTATTACCTAGATGAACAAATTCATGTTTCATTAAATGTATAAAAAGATTAATTGGCTTGTTTAAGTTCATTTGGTTTTGGCAAATCACTGATGAAAAAGTCGCCAGGAATTTGATGGAAAATTTTGCTCATAATGCCAAGTAAAATTTCTTCAATGTTTTTTGAAATGATTGGTTTCAATGCTTCACTTACTGGCCGCCAATTTTCATTCAGGTATAGATTTGTAGAATCCTCTGAAATATTACGAAAATTTAATGAACTTGAACGTTAATATGTATCTGCGTGTAAATAAATAAAAAAAGCGAAAACATGAAACAATAATTTTAGCAAACGTGGGATAAGTAAAGTAAATCTTAATGATGATGACCGCGATGTTTATTTTTAGTTAAAGTATCATCTCACTTTCTCACAAGAAAGTGGGAATCGAACTCAAGATTTTACAATTCATATTTTTAGTTGAGTAACAAATTTTGAGATTTTGTGCGACTGGGAGTCGAACCCATGATCTCATTTTCTTATTTTTAGACAAAGTAAATATTTTATAAAAAGATATTTTGTTGAGAGATTTACAGTCATAGTTGTAGGCGTGAAAATATTTTCAACCTGGGAAACATCAAGCAATGCTTTAAATTGATTCAATTCAACGTGAAAATCAGTGATTTGCATAAGATAAACTTTCATACACAAAAATAAACTGTCAACGATACGTTTTTCAATTTATTCGTGGAATATTCGAAAGATGAAGAAAGAATAAATGAAGGTCAAACTTACCGAGAACTTTTACACCTTCGAAAAGATTATCCATTCTTAATTTAAGACCTTCCATGTTGAAATGAACTAATAATTTAATGAACATTAATTTTCTAGCTCACAACTTATTGAGATGTAAATTGATTTGGAAAACTTACCACGACATCCTGTCACATTATAAAACGTATGATCATTTTTCGCATAAAGTCTTGTTTTTGTGTAAAACTTTATATCCATGTTGGCTTAAAGTAAAAATGAAACAAATTAGTCGCACGTTTTATCTTCAAAGATTTCTAGTTTAACATGAAATGAAACGACTTTAATGCTTTATGTCACCGGTGCACTTACATGGCTCAAACCAGCATTTACCACGACCCTGAAAGTCAAGATTGTGCACATTCATGATTAATGTACTCAATTTATTTTTCACTGAATGTTATTTTAAACTCACGTTGAGCGGAATTACGAGAATCCGCCCCATCATGTGGTAGTTTCCCTCCAATCTCATTTTAGGAAGTTTCACGATTGTGATCCAACTGTAATCTTTACTGCTGACCTGATTCTCTATGACTTTAACCTTTGAAATGCCAGTAATTTTGACTTTTGAGATACTTGCGTTGACACTAACTGGGCCTTCACCTTGTAGAATTCCCACTCTATCAATTCTCATAGGATCGATCGATTGAAGTCCTTCGATGCCTTCAAGTCCTTTTACAAGATTATCAAATAAAGCTTGCACACCGATTGTTGAACATTTGGTGAAGTCGGGATCTTTAAATTGGCAACTCTTCAACCATTCGGCTAAAACAATTCATGATTTCTTCGTTAACTCAAGTCATAAATTTTATATTTCATTTGTTGCAACTTTTCTTCTCGGAATAAAAACAGATTGAAGAAAATTTTTGAGTTTGAGATAAATATCAAACTGTTTGTATACATTAAGTCATCATTCATTGGTTTTCACTTAGCAAGTGGTATCAAAATTTGAATTTTCTTCACAATTACGAAAAGCTTTCACGTTAAATTAAATCTACATTTCAATGCGTGTTTAAAAAGAAAAATGATTTGAAAGATTTTCTTACGTTTCTCAGTCAAGTCACAGTTACATAATTTGATAAAGACAGCGAAACATAATGCAATTCTTTTCATCATCACCGAAACTTATTTTCACTAAACTCAACGCCACTAATGCCAACAACACTCTGAAAATCTTTTCAAAGTTTTACATCAATTTATAAAGAATTCAACCTTCTGATTTTTCAAACGCAGTTTTCCAATAGATTTCTTGATTGTATCTGTGTTAAGATTGCTTTGCAATATGGAAGTCCATCATTTTCGCGGTGTGGCAATTGAAATGAATAAAGTAAGTCTTAAAGAACAACAAAAATAAAAATTTTATGCGTAATTAAAGCAAATGCACCTTAACTCGATATGATTTTATAACATGCAATAAAATAGAATATAAAGTTCAATAATTGTTATGTCATTTCTTTATGAAAGGTGAATTAACAAACATTTTTGTAATTATCTTATTATGATTAGAAAAGCATTAAAAAGTCTTGGCTGTTATTCATGATAGTCTAACTTTCTTGTCCAACGTTATCGACCTTGAAAAATAAAGATTAACGGTTATTTAAACATATCTAAATAAATATTGCATGTTATATTATGGCTCGATCTCAAAACGAGTTTTTTCTGCACTCATAAACAGGAACACTTTCGGTTTTTATTTGCACTTGAATGCAATGCTTATATGCAACCATGTAATTTTAAATATGTGTCTGATCAAACTTAACGTTTATTAAATGCCCGTTAAAGTGGCTGTACAACGTGGAAGTAATGCGAACACAAAAGTTTGACACACTTATTGAAGAGAATAATAAAAAAAGAATTTGAGAGAATCTCAACTTTCAATTCTTTTTTCTAACTAACTTGACAACTTGTAGATAAATGCTTAAGACTTGACTCAGCATTAATAAAGTCTTTCAATTGAGTGTGTTGCACTCATTTAAATTTATATAACGTTATGTCAAGTTCATTCCGTCTATTTACTTATATTTAATTTTCTAATATGGCTTACAAACATCAGTTAATGTGAAGGCCAATTCAAATTTGTTTTTATCAAAATATATTCATAGTTTTTGAGTAGAATATATTTAAAATTTATTCCTTTTAATTTTCATTTCCTAAAATTTTTCATTTTTACGTGTTTCATGTTTGATCGTTTTACAACAATTGTCGTGTGTCGCGTGACATGGAAAATTTTCGTTGCTCTGATGTCTCATGCCACATGTAGATCTGTTAAAATGTTTCACAGGAAATGTTTAAATGTTTATTACTCGTGTATTTGTTCAAAGAGAAATTTTATTTGCCGCTTCAAAGATTTCAAACATTTATATTAATAATTTTTTTTTGTTGATCTAATGAGAAGGATATTTTAAGTTTTTGGTTTGTTAACAAAATAGGACAGCAATGATTTTTGCTTTTAATTTCAAATAAATAATTACTGATTTGTTAAATAATAACTTTGAGTTGTGATGGACATTTCTGATGTTTACATATGACGGGTGTTTCCCATTCCACCATGGCCAGCTTGTGAAGCTCCCTTGTTATAACCCATTTGTAAATTGAGTTCACCTTCATGAGCACGTAATTGTGCTTCAGTAAATGTGCGTTCATTCTTATCAGACATCTTGGGTCCAAGAGCTGGGCCAGTAAATTCTGGGTGCTTTTGGGTGATTCTTCCTAAAGCATAAAGGCACAAAGTGACTTGTGGGATGTTACGACGTTCAAATAAGTCAGCTGTTTGGAAAATTTCTTCTTCGGGAACTCCATATTTCTTGATAGCAGCTTGGAATCTAAAAGCAATTAGTTTAATATTTTCACTCTACTATTTCCACTTTCATTTAATGTACCTTTGAACATTTTCCATCAATTGGAAGTTTGTACCGCGTTCTTGAATCTTCTTGACTGATCCAGGTGTCAATTTGTTAGCAAGTTTGCAGAGAACGATTCCATCCCGGAGAATATCTTCGTAGTTTCCTGCGGGAGCTTTCTCGCCCAAAACAGCATAGATCCATTCGAGAACTTCTTTTTCTTGTTCCTTGTTTCTTTGCTGTCAAATGTAACATTTTATATGAAATCAGTTGAAGCATGAGAAATTGAAATATAAAAAGATTTTGTCATCACACCAAGTTGAAAAGGAAAAAGAAAGAATATTAAATCACTTGGACAGAAATACACAATTTCGAGCATTTTCCAAAAATAATTTTTTTTCTGTTTGTGAGTTGATTTTACGAGTATTCGAAATGAAAATTTAAAGAAAATCTTGATAGAGTTTTCCCGAAGAGAAAAGTTTTAACGTCATAATAATAATCAAAGTTTTCAAATAAAATATTTAATATTTTTCATGAGCTTGATTAATTTCTCAAATTAAATTCATTTATTTATTTAAGTGAATCAAGTTTAAGTAAATAAAAGTCATTGGATAAACAATGATAAGTTCAATTTAAATTCAGATCTTTGAAACAATCAAATATCTTTACAATTATTTTTCTTTAATTCGTCAGTTTCGCGATCACAAAGAAGCAAATGTTTTCATTTGCTTTTACTGAATTCGCCATAAACTTTTCATCTGGCATTTTTATTACTTTTTAGTTTCCTTTTAGCAGAGAACTTTTACGTCAATTGTCAGATGAAATTTAAAATATCAAATGCACGAGTTAGTTTATAGTTTTGTCATCAGTAATTCAAAACAAAAGAAAATCATAAATTTGTTCTATAAAGTTCATGGAAAACTATTTTGAATTACTATGGCATTGAAACTCATTTTCAAAAAAAATGAAAATTAACGTAATGAACACAATATGTGTTTTCCAAAAATAACTGAAAATGAAGTAATTTTCCTAGGAAAATCACTAACAGTTTAGTTCCATGGCAGTGTAAACGTTTGCACTTGTTCGCTTTCAAGATCGTTCATTATAGCTTCACTTTGCTTTTTCGGATTTTCCTCTAATTGCCCTTGAAAAACATCGCCACTAAATAAAACTTACCACCATGTTGGATGTTTACTTGCTAATGCACTTCACTGACAGATAATAATTAAAGAGAAATGAAAAAGTTCAAGCACCAAAATTTAGAATTTTTGATGATGTGTCTCGACCGATGTCTTGAGCGAAATTAAATCAATTTTCACGGAAAACTCGAAAAATAAATCCACACTCGCTTATGTTTGTGTATGATTAAATATAGAAACATTAAATACACGCAAAAACTTTTTTGTTTATCTTTCTTCATTAGTGATCTTCTTTTAATTTTTTTGGGATATTTTCGTAACATAAGTCACAAATGTAAAACTAAAAACTTGTCTAATGAATGTAAGAATATTTGAGATAAAAGTGTTAATGAATCGACATTGCTTTCATATTAATTTAATTACAAGAGAAACACTTTTAAACATTATTTGAAAACGAAAGGAAGGATTTGATGTAATTGAAAAAAAAAATATGAAAACGTTTTACTGATCATGCCAGATCTAGAGAGCGAGAAATTAATTAACCATATAAAAGTAATAAATCAGGCCACCCAAACTTATTAACCGTCAGCGACAAACCAGCACACACTTTCTCACTTCTTATTGTCATTGTATTCAGCATCTTTATTGGGAAAATTGTGTGGGCGGTTTGTTTGCAGTTTCAGTTTCGATTTTTTTTTTGTTTCTGTATTTTCCAACAAGTTGGAGGTAATAAATTTTTCTCCAATCCCTTCAGCTTCAAATTGATGCTTCTGATTCAGAAAAAGTCGCTTTCGTTATGCAATTCATGTGATCATCTGCAGAGAAATTAATTATCATGCGATTATGAAAGATTCTACTGAGACTGTTGGACTGTTCTTTGAAGCATGCAAAGCTTTTTACTCTCAGATGATCCCACTCGAAGTGACAAAATCGTTTTTATTTTTATAAAGAAAGGAAATTGATGACGAAATTTCTGATGACGATTTGACGACAGATGGAACTCGACATGATCTATTAGTTTGTTTAGTTCGTGAAATGTTTCATTTCATTGATAAAAGAGAGAAACAGTTTGTTGATGTTAGTCGAGTGTGAATTTTCACCTCGGTCAAGTTTACATTGTCTAAAAAATAAATATTAATTAAATTTTGCGCCCCCACAGTTTGTGAAAAACATTTTAACTTCATGTAATTAAAAAGCGCTTTAAAGTGAAACTTTACTGCAGTTGACGACTTTATTAAATTTATATCCATTACATGTGCAGAACATCATCTAACTTATTGCAAACTAATTGCGAATATAACTTCTCCCATGCGAAAAACAATATTAGTGAAAAGTTTATTATAATTAAACATTAATATTTTTCTATTTCACTGCTTTGTTAATTGAAACGTTGCCAAGAGCTGTAAAATCTCAAAGTAAATTTCTTTCCGTTCATCTTCAAATTCAGAAACGGAATCGGAAACCGTCAAATAATTTTTTGCTTATTACCTGAACTTGGAAAAATTATTTTTCATCACCATTCAAAAATCTTTAAATAATTTCAATGAATCAACTTGAAATCATTAAAATGTCCATTAAATGTGACAGTTTTTGGCAAATTCCCTGCAGATGACAGCTTTAAATGAGATCATGTTTTTTTAATCTTAGCTAATTCACACTTCTTTTTTCATAGATTGCCGGTAAACGTGACACACAACAAGAAGAAGAAGCTCAAGAATGGATTGAAGCCATCACTGGTGAACAATTTACAAAAGGTTCATTCGAAGAATCTCTTCGTGATTGCGTTTTGTTATGCAGAATGATGAATAAACTTGCTCCTGGATGCATTCAGAAGATCAACACTTCAGGTGGAGATTACAAAATTATGGACAACATTTCACAATTCCAAAAAGCTGCTGTCTGGTATGGAGTGGGTGACGTAGATTTATTCAACGCTAATGACTTGTGCGAAATGAAAAATATCGCTCTCGTTACGCAAACAATTTTCGCTGTCGCACGCGCTGTAAGTCTGATGGAAAATTTTAGAATTTTCCTTTCCAAACATTTTTTATTTTGTTTCTTTTTTTCAGGCATACAAGCACCCTGAATTTAAAGGACCATACTTGGGACCACGTCCATCAGAAGAGAACAAAAGAGATTTCACAGAAGATCAGTTGAGAGCTGGAGAAGCCATCATTGGATTGCAAGCAGGAACTAACAAAGGAGCTTCACAAGCTGGAACAAACATGGGAGCCTCAAGAAAAATTATTTTGGGAAAATAAATTTATTTATTCATTTCAACGAACCACAAAATTTATTCTTTGCACCTTGTTTCAAAACTTAACTTCCAAATGCAATAATTCAAATTAATTATTTTATGTCACAAATGTTCAACACTTTATATTTTAACACCCACACAATCCAAAATATATTTTGATTCGAACAAAGAATAAAGAAATATAAATTTGTCAAATATAAACAATGAAGAGTATTCAGGAATATACAATCCTGTGGAACGCTACTGAAAGTGGAACCTTCATCATTCAAGTGATGAGACAAAGGGAGCGAAACAAGTTGGAATTTATATTCCTGTATTCTTAATCGCTTTAGTGTACAGTCGTGCACTCCCTACTCTGATGATGATGATGATGAAGAAAAGTTGTTTTCACTTTTGCTATAATTTTATCGATGAAATAATTTACAAGCAAAGAAACTCTAAAATTTATTTGGAATAATCCATTGATAAGCTGCAATAATTTTGAAACCGACTTAATAAATATTTTTATCTTATCATTTCATTGTGCTAAAAAGAAATGAAATCGTTTTAATTTTACGTATTTTCACTTTTTTTCTCTTAAAGAGAAATCCGAGATAAAATAAATGAATTAATTAAAATATTCATTGATTAAAGCAACGTGCTGATTCTGCGAAAAAGCATTTGCCTAAAATGTGATCAAATAATGTGTATCGGCCGCATCGAACCAATGTTGATTCCCCATCAATGCAAATGAAGTAGAATTGACATTCATCAGGATGGGGAAGGAAAATTATGTCACTTTCAGTGTCATCAGGGCATTCAATGTCTTTGACATCAGGAAGTGGATATGAAGGCTCGCAATCGGATTCTTCTTCTCTTATGCACCAGTTATCGTTAGGATCCCAGTGCAATGTTGGTCCACAATCCCATTCCAAAGCATTTCCTTGATGACAAACAAAATATCTGAAAAATATAATTTCATTTAAATAATTTCTCTGACGTCATCAACTCGTTAAAATTACTTTTGGCAATCTTCCTGATCTGGTAAGAAAACAACATTGGGTGGATCATCATCAGCAGGACAAGAATCAACATCGAGTCGACAATCAGATTCCGAACGCCGGACGCATCTCATTTGTGATCGTGAGAAGAATAGGCCAGGACTACAAGTTCGATTGATTAACCAACCATCAAAGCACATGAAGTATCGAGTACACGAGAAAGGATGAATGTGAACTGAAACCCCACTTCCTGGACAATCAACAAGATCAGGTGAATTTGATGCAGCTGTTGAGGTTGTTACATCTGCTGATGTTGTCATTGGTGGTGTAGTTGTAACTGGTGGTGTAGTTGTAGCTGGAGGTGTAGTTGTTGTTGGAGGTTGTGTTGGCGGAGGGTCTGTCGCTGGTGGCCAAACTGGCGGTGCAAATTCACAATCAAGCACATCTCTTGAAACTCTACAAGTTTCAGATGTACGATGAAACCAAAATCCCTCTAGACATCGCTGAATAATAAATTCTAAATTGTGGCAAGTGTAATAACTCTCACTGTAAATGCGAACTTCTTAAAGTTTATTCATTAGTTAAATTTGAAAATTTAAACATACCAATCAAATCCACTAGGAAAATGACGATTTGTCAATTCAACTGTACATTCTGGTAAATGTGCTTGAGCTGTCGATAATTTAATGAAATTTAATATTAACAAAATGGACAAGAGATTAAATTTCGTTCGATCCATTATTTCACTTTCATCTGATTTAAATATTCTTCAATTAAAAGTTAAAAATTTTCTCATCCACCTCATTTGAAATGTGAACAAGAATTGAATGTAAAATTTTTCTTCAATTTTATTTTGTTATTTGCGACTAATTTTAAGATATCTGGTGCAAAGATAAGTCAAAGAGCTTGTGATAAGAAATTAATCTAAAAAAGATTATTTTAATTGCATCCGGCGAATATTCACCTGAATTTTATTGTTTTTCTATTTTTTTTTAGGAAGTAGAAGATTGAGTATTGGCTAACTATGATTAATAAATCATTTATTTTATCTCTAAAGCAGTAAGATTAGAATTACAATTAATATAAAAAAATTAATTCTGGTGTCTAATAATAAAATGACATTGGTTGTTGGTGGTTCACTTTCTTATTATTGCACAGATTGACGCTAATAATTCTTTCATCTTTTATTTTATTATATAAAGACAGTGAACTTAATGATATTGAGACAATTTTTATTAATTTCCTAATTTCAAAAAGTGAAGAAAAAAACGATGAAATTATTTAATGAAAAACTTATTTTCGAATGAAAAGCTTTAATGTGATAAAAGCTTTTGAGAAAACTAAAAGCTCCGTAATCAAAAGCTTTGTTGAATTTTTTTGATTAAACCAGAAATTTGTTTTCCATTGAAATCATGACAAACAAATAAGTTATTAAAATAAAAGTTAGAAATTTTGGAAACAAAGAAAATGTTGAATCAATGAAATGTAATTTGGCACGAAAGGAATTTTTGACCATCTCTTATGTGCTTTTTAATGTCAACTATCGACAGTGCATTCGAAATAATTCCTGCCGGATTTAGAGGTTTCTTCATAAGATAAGTAAAGTTCGACATAGATTTTAAGAATGTTGGCTCAGTTTCATCGCGACCGACGGTCCAGAGAGTGATTGTGTAGCTTAATTGGAAATCGTAAACTCCAACCAACCACACGTACAACGAATCGTCGTTAATTGGGAAACCAAAAATCTTTTGAAGAGTCATATTTGATGTCATAAGAACGACAGGAAGGCAATTTTCGAAAGTCCCATAACCGATGTCACTATGAAGAAAATTAAATGTCGAAAGATTTCAAACTTTTAATCAAACACTTACGTCATTTTATCTTTAATTAGAAACATTCTTTGACACATGACAATATTTGGATTTCCTCTAAAGTTTAATTTCATATTTATGATTTTTCCTGGAGCAACTTTCAACACGTCAATGCAAGGATGATCGATGGTCAAATGATTGCAGAAATCCGATGGCACGCTCCATGTTTCACAATGAGATATCGGACATGGCACAGGAAATCTTGAAAGTTTTCTGCTTTGATTTCGTTGTTGGTCATTTGAAGAATCTAAAGTTTCCTGATGGGAAACTAAAATCGGTTCTGCACGAGTAGATTCGAAGTTGAAAGAATGAGAGAATTTAACACGATGAGCGATTGATGAAAAGAGTGATTTGGGTGGTGAATCTGGTGGAGGTGTGCTGGTTCTTGATACTGCCAATGAAGTGAAATGCAAAGTGTCTGATTCATCTATTGAGTTTGGGTTCTTATAAATTTCAAAAACAGAACTTTGTAAACTAATTGCTGATTGATCTCCAAAATCATAGCAACCAATGGAATGAGCTTCTTGATTCATATCACTTGTCTTGCTTTTATTTGCAGATCTTGAAGTATTTTCATTGTAAGCAAAAGATGTTTGAACTTCACGATGAGTCAAAACAGAATTTTGATTGTCTCGTGACGAGCACATCGTAAACTTTCCTTTGCATTCTGAAGTTTTTCTCTCATTGTTTTTCTTTTCAACTTTTTCATAACACTTCATTATTTCAAATTCTTCTTCTTCATTGAGTGAACCTGAATTTTCTGAGCTTGTTTGATCATCTTTCTTACTAACAACTTCAAAATATTTAAAATATGTAGGATCGATAAGATCGTTTTCTTCCTTTTTACGTTTTTCACAACTTTCAATTTCTCTAAGCATTTTTTCCATACTATCCGATTTCGATATTACACTTTTCCTATCATTAAATGTTTCTTCACTATTTGTAAGAGTATCGATGAAAAGTCTCGGGGTGTTGTTAAGCATTGCAATCTTTAAGAAATGTAATTAAATATTGAATCCAGCATAACTAGCATCAATCAAATACTCACACAAATTACCTTTGAAAATTTAGTTTCACACGCCGGACAGTTTTCTATATTTTTATCACATTTTTCACATAGAATATGACCGAAGTTGCAAATTTTTCGTTTAAACTGTTTGATCCCATCGATGTTTTTGCAAAATGAACAAAACATATTAACTTAAAATATTTATTTTTAATAATTTATGACGTTCTTATTGTTTTTCGATAAACTTTCATAGTGTGCTGTGATGAAGTTTTGTTTTCTTTACAAAAAAGTAAATTTAACTGACATTCAAAATATGAAAAGAAAATTTTTCATAGAAAGCTTAGAATTAATCTAACTCCAACTCACAGGCTTAGATTAGATTAAGTTTAAAGTCACATAAATTTTTATCATGAATTGTTGGAGCTATTAAGTATCTACTTGGCATACTTGGATTGTTCAAATAATGACATTTTCAAGTTTTTATCTCTTTTTTGGTAAGAAATAGGTGGATATAACTAACTGAAGCGTTAAAAATAATTTAAAAGGATTTTTATTGAAGAATTAAGTTGGTAATTAAAGAAAATCATTAAATTATGTTGAAAACTTGAATTGAGAAACTTTTAACATAAAACTTCTTAAGGTAAAAAAAACATTGGATAAGAAATAGATAAGCAACATGACAATACTCCCTAATTATCCTACTAGAAAAACTTCATCATTTAAAATTAAGCAGTGATAAGATTATGATATTTATTTTGACATAACTCATAAGTGTAAAGTGGTTTTATAATCACGAGTTAACAACTGACCTTCATGCTCATAAAACTGTTAACATTAGTTTTGAACGAGCCAAAATTAAATTACTAAAAAATATTTTAAACGAAATTTTCCATCAATAATGAAGGTAGCAACGAGTCTTCTTATCTATCGCATGTCTTCTTATCAAAACTTGTAATTACTTCTCAACGTGATTGTGCCAAATATTTTGTTTATTTATTTTTCTTAAATTCCTTTAAGTGTGAACTCCTCCAATTACTTATTTCGATATGGCACAGAAAAGCGTGATTATTATTGTAATTTCTATATTTTACTACTCACACTCCGTTAGTGACCCGCTAGAGTCAGCACAATTCACAAACTGCTTTTTAATTCAGTACTCAATGTTTTTGTATTTTCATTACTCTAATTTTCGGTTTCGGTATTTTTATTTTGCAAATTTAAAGATTTTTTTTTACCACAAGCTGGTAAAAAGAAAGTAACTCAAATTGTTTCACTTGTTGCCTTTCTTAAGTACATCTCAACTGATGTCTGATATTCTCGATTAAAAGTTTATCATGTGAAGCGTTTGATAAAACGATAAAGATTCTTCAAAACTTTAATTAAAGTGTGAAACATAAATTTTTCCCATAAGTTATATTAGTGAATAAAATTTGCATAATATTTCGTTGCTTTTAAATGCAAGATGGAAATGTTTCATAAATAACTTATGTTGGCATATGAAAAATTAGATGAATGAGAAGACCCATCGCCGTCTTTACTTTCTATACACTTGACAACTTCACCGAAAAAAGAGAGGAAAAGAGAGAAAAACAAGAAGAAAATTACAAATACAAACTTGGAATGAAGAAATAATTTTTTTTTCTCTGTACAAAGAGCAGTGAAGTCGCTTAGTTGGTTGCATGACGTGATGTGTGAATGAAGCGAATTTTAGTGCGGGATTAAAATTTCATGTCGTTAAAAAATGGGCTTAAATCGGTTGCTCTCGTTATCCAAAAACAGTGTTTTGCCTGAAATAAAAAAAGAAAATTCGAAAAGTTCAAAAGTTGTCAGCAAAATGAATACGACACAAACCGGAGGGAATAAAAAAAGTAAAGTTAAAGACACTTCCTCAGATATAGCAAAGCAAAAAATCGATGAAATATCGACGAGCGGTAGAAGTACGACAACGACAAAAAAATCAATGCTTTGGAGCACGTTGCGTATGACCAACAAGAGCAAAACTATTCAAACTAAAAAAGGTATAATTTTGATATCAATTGTAATTCGAGGAAGAACTTCAAAGTCTTCTTTAAACAGTGAAACATACGCCGTATCTTGATTTCATTTTATTGTGTCAAGTTCTAAAATCTAGGCTATTGTAGTGACCATTTATTTAATCAATAACGCTATAGGAACGTTTCATTTAATATGAAATGGATCTTAGAGTTATTTCAATTTAAATTCACACATCAAGTGAAATTTCCCGATCCTTGCTTGATGACTCATTCATTCAATTGCAAAATTTCTGCAACTGCGCATTTTCATCTCTTAATATCTCTCATTCCGCCTCAAGCATCACAGTATGAAATTATGATGGTTGTAATAATTAATTTGTAAATAGAACGGAGTTTGGCATTGAACATTTTTTGAACGTGTTGAACAATTCGTGATAAAATTAAACAAGAAATAAAAAGGTATTGCGATTAAGTAAATCTAAATACATAATTAAAAGCTTTAAAATTTCTCACAAAATCATTAGAAATTTTACTGTTACTGCTATTTGATTCGGCTTGTTAATCTGTCCGATTTAATATTAAAAATGGATTTTCATTAAATTTCAATCAAGTAAAGCCACAGTGAAAGATTTATTATTATTCATGTTTACGCTTCATGCCTATCATACTTAGTTGACTGGAACGTGCAACTTTAAAACATTAAAATTCATTAAAATAAAACTCCTAAAACAATAAGAAGATTTTAATATCGAATGGAAGTAAAAAAGTAATTGATCATCTCTCTTTAAATATTCAACAGCCTATCGGTTTCAATTTTTAGATTAACACGAAAACAAGATGACTTCATGATATAGATTTGCAGCGTCAAATCTCATTTACTTAATCAAACTTAATTAACAACACGCACGAATGGAAATAGTTATGAAATAAAAAGATTTTTCGACGAACGTATAAAACTCGCTAAGTTATTTTTATTAACATATGCAAAAGTCTCTGAACTGTGACCACAACGACCGACCTCGTATAGAATTTTTCATGCTTCATTAGAAACAAACGAATTTTAATGCGTAAAATCTAAAGCATTCCAACTTCTCGTCGAAAAGCTTGCTTACAATTCGTTTCCTCTATGTTTTCCCCGACACAATTAAAGAAGAAACAGACAAGATATTTGAACATTCATCAACCAACATACACGTGCTAGCATATGTTCTAAATATTTATTTTTTAAGTATCAATTTGTTGTCACTCAATATGCGACAGTTGATTGCTATTTTAATTTCATTTTCGTCGAGACAAGATTCGACGTGCTGAAATGAATAAAAAAAAAGGCATTTGGCATGAAATTTTAATATAAAGTTCATGAATTGTTTATGAGATCGTGAACTCCATTGAAAACCAAAGTTATTTATTAGATATTACATCAGCTAATGCCAATTTTTTCACATTCATTTTTCTCTGATTTTCCGCTTCTCATAAATAAAAAGATGAACTTATGTGATGAGCTAACGTTTGAATTGTTTGCAATTTCTCATGCTTCATGCAAAATTATTTACAGTAACTTTCCGGTCTTTCAACCAACAACCGCATTCGCTTTATTCAACAATTGCGTCACGAAAATCCTCTCATAGAACTCTTCGATTGCATGTGCTTTTAATTTGAAAAATTTTCTTCTCATATTTATAGTTTTTCATTTTCATTTTCATCCCATATCGAATATACGAAAACAACATGTGAGAAGCGTACGTTTTATTTTGTTTTTCATTGGCTCGCTCATCGAGCGACTCAGTTGGCTTTCAGTTGCATACAAGACAGTGAATAGATTGGAACTGAAAAGAAAAATGAAAAGTTTTTTTTCGCAAGAATTGGGGAAATAAAACAAAAGACAGAACACAAAAGTTGCCTAATAAACTATAAAAGAGTTATAGCCATGAATATATCACAATCAAAATCTTACTTATTTTATAAACTGATTAATGTTTTCATGCTTTCGGGTGAATGAAATTTAATTAAATGTATAAAGTGTAAACTCTCTCTTGTAACAGTAGTAATAAAAACAGTTTTTTGATCTTAAAATTGACTTTGAGATTAATTTAATTTGATTAAAAATAATGTGTGATAAATATATGTTGATGATTGTGTTTAAAACAAAGCCAGTGAATTTATAACTTTTAATTAGGTCGACAAAGTAAAAATGCTTGAAGCCTTCCATTTAAATTAACGACAATTATGTCGACGACAAGACTGCGACTTGCTGTTAATGTCTAAATGAAGAAACATTCAGTTATATTAATTCTTTTATTTTGATTGCATAATTGCATAAATGCACAGAAAGAGTCTGTCTGATCTTATTACGCATTTAATTCAATGTGTTTCATTTAAACTATTTTATGTAGTTCATTTCAAATGCCTTTTGTGAAAATACCGCGCGCGTGTTTTGCAGATTATTGTGAAGTAATAAACCTGCTGCTGAATAGCGTCATAATAAATCTTCAGATGAATTATCACAATAAATAAAAAATGTTTGTAATGTCTCGTTATTGTTGTAAAGATGTTTAAACAATAAACAAATGCCACTGCGAAAATAAAAGGTTCATCATAAGAAGACCTTCCGATGTGATGATTACAAAACTGAAACATTAAAGTTTTGTGTGACATTCAAGTCAGATATTTGTAAATATTTTTTATTATAGTTAAGTGATGGCTATTGTTGGTGTTAAATGGTCCCACGCATAAACACCAGCTTGGTCAATTTTACATCTATCAACGGCCGAGATAAAAGTGATTCAATGACGTTACATTTATGGAAATGATGGGATGAGATCTTGAAAGGTTTGTTTAGTTGTTGAGGAATGGAATTCAAAGAGAACCGCTAATGCTTGGTGATTGTAACGACAACTCACCGATTTAATTAGAGAGAAGCAAACATAATTCACTGTAAATTCAATTAATTTCTTTCACTTATTCTTTAAATAATGTCTGAGACTCATATGCTTGCAAATCGTGCTTTTTATTTTGTCTAACGGAATTTCATTTGTAATTGGTCGTCGTTGCGTGAACGAACAAAAAGTTGTTTATCATTGGTTGTTCTGCGTTGATTTTGGTAGTGAGCGAAATCTTCCTTACCTTAGCTTCTTGAGTTCATTGATCAAACTTGAATGAACAATGAAAGAGAAATGGAAAGCAACTCATCGTTTCGCCTTCCGGTCATCGAGACATTAACATTTTCTCTCCAGCTGAACAAGCCAAATTGAAACTTCAATTATCTAGTAAAGTCTTAATTTCTCTTTCGCTTTTTAAATCAACACAAAACTTTTGTCTGAATATTGTTTTAAGATAGAAAAGTTATTACTTTTGCAATAACATTTGCACTAATTTAATTGCAGTGAGAAATTTTTTATTATTTTTTTCTCTTTCATTTAAATCTTCAACTGCACATTACTGCATTATAATTTAACAAGTGCATTCGATTCCACTGAGTTACGACTTAAACAAATAAGCCGAGACGACTGCGTTCCTAAATACAGATAAATAAAAATAAGATTTCAGCTCATGAAGTCGATAGATTTGTGTTGTGTTCATTAAGCAATCAAAAAAAAATCATGTTTTGAGATCGCTAAAATATTTCATCACATTACGATTTTAATTTTGCCAGATGCGAGTAACTAATGTCAATCTTTCAAGTGCATGTCATGATGATGGCAACACATTTGTAAAGTTGCCAAGACACTCATTTCGAGATACCGTTTCTGTGCGATTCCGTGGCATCGAACGCGCCAGGCGAAGGTCAATTAAATCAGTTTATTTTGTGTTTTTCATCTTTCTCAGTAATTTTTTCATCATGAGTATTAAAGGAAATAAATTTCCACCCACTAAGAAGACGATCAACGCTAGGCAGTGTAAAACTACATTTCAGTTTGTTTGTTTGTTTGTTAATGAAAATTGCAGTCTTTAAGGAAACTTGAGATTATTTAATCGACTTAGGTGAAGTTTACATTTGTTTACATTTTGTGAAGAAATTTCGTGCTACAATTTGCATTTCGTGTTTACACTCGGATTAGATCATAATAGTTTTCAACACATTTCGACTCGTCTAACTTGTCAATTGAATTTTCTATAAACTTAAACTGTGATAGTTTAGTTCAAGTGACAGCAACAATAAGACAATTGGCAGTACTTTTTACAATTTCGGCTTACTCAAACGAATGTGATTTGATTTCCGACAAAAGTATGTATGTAAGAAGAAAAAAAGTAAATTAAATTATGAAAGTTAACTTCACGATTAGAAATTCAATCAATCAAAAAGCAAAAATACTTCCAAGGAATGTAAAAATCAATTATCGTTTAAATCACGTTTGATTTCAACAAAATATGAGTAACTTTGTAATAAAATAAAAACTTAAAAGATGTTTTGATGTAAATAGGAAATATTTCTTCAACCTTCATTAAATTACGTTGCATTGGATAGTTTTTCATTTTATTTATTTAATTTTATTTGCATTTAAAAAGCGAATTGTGGTTGTAAATGATTCTAAATTGTAGTTTACAATTTGAGGTCTTGGAGAAAAATTTCTTATGACTCTTTGTATACAAATGTAAATAGACACAAGTCAAGGACTTTGTACATAAAATTCATCTCATCATCATCATATAATGTGGCGATGTTGGCAAGTTTCCATCTGAAATGAATTTAATGTTCTCATTGGTATCGTGGGCCTAGATTCAAGTTTCTTATTTTTTAATACTTTTTCACGAGTTGCTTATGAAAAACTTTGACCATAAAGTTTTCGTTTCGTTTTAAAGCATGATCACAGTGATCGTAAAGATGGGAAGAATGAGCACCTTTCCTTAATAGAGAATGCCAATTATTTTCTTTTATTAACACCTACAACAAACAAAGCTTTGAACGTAGAAAAATCTTAAACAATAAAAATCAGAAAACAAATGAAATCTGAGAGTCAGTACGCTTCTCTTTGTGCATCTAAATTTAGTTTTTCTCAGGCGTTTTAACATGTTTTTATTGTTATGATGTGACTTCTTGGAAAACATCTTTCAATGCTTGTTTCAATGAATGGAAAGTCTAATTAATTTTCCAGAAGTTCTTTTGAAAGTTTCATATTTCAACTCATCGTTTATGATCTTTAAATAGAAGAGGAAAACGGAAATCTTTGTAATTTAATTAATTGAACTGACTCTACAATTAAAAAAAGATTTTTCTATCATGATCTCTCTTAACTTCCTTGTTGTTTCTTAGACATTTTTTGTGTGGTCGAAAACAAGACTAATGGAATTGCCACCAATCACTTTTCTGTCCCAGATAATTTTCGCTTGCTTTGTACCTAAATAAAAGTTATTTTTTTAAGAAGACACTCATCTCAACACAAAACTTATGTCTATTAACATGTTTACATGAACACTGAAAAAAGTTAATTTCTGTCTGTTCCAAAAAAGAAACGAGTTTTGAGGGCAGGAAAAAGCGATCAAGTTCACACTAAAAGAATGTTCACAATTAGATTGTGATGAGATAATTTTTATTTTCGACTCACGATGTAAACGGAAACTCTGAATAAGTTGCGCTGATTGACATGAAATGAGACTACTCAACGATTGTTAAGCATATGAAAGAGAAACCTTAGCTCGTTATGAGTAGCGATTTATGGAATGACGAAACTTCGAAGATTTGTCATGTTTTGTTGTCGTAATTTTAATTTTATTGATTATTCATTCGTTGCTCGTGAAACCACAAATGATTCTTTTCACTAACAACAAACATTGTGGTCTTCTTAGTCTTCTTTAAGAACATTTGTTACTGAAGAAAGAATTAGATGACTTGTAATATTGAATTGTTTAAGAGACAAAGAAATTCTTTTCATGAATTTTGTAGCAGCTTGACGCTTTAACTAAACAATTTAATTTAATTTCTCAACATTTCTTTATCTTCTTTTTCTTACAGATGACCAAAATCGTTTGGTCGGACCACCATTTCTTAACGGAAGTGCAAGATCATCATTTCACTCAACTCATTCTATAAAATCAGGAACGCCACCCCCTAACAATAGCACTCGAAACGATGCTTTAATTATTAACACGCTAAGCAGATCACCAAAGGCAACAAAACTGAAGAAATTTGAGAGTACTAACAATAGTAAAAGAATAGTCAATAAAAATAGTAAAATGCAACAACAAACGTTACAACAACTGATCGATCAACAATCGCTTGAGAAACAAAAGCAGACGTTCAACGTGTTGCATACGAACAAAGGCGTTGAAGCCCTTGGCGTGCTTGTACAATATTTAGTCTTTAATGTGAGTATTTCATGGCAATTATCTTCCCTTACACCTATGAACATTGGAAAATTATAAAATAATAAAGCTTAAAGAGTGAGAAAAACTTTTAAAACAATTCACATTCAGTCAAAGCATACAAAAGTCAAGAAAAAAGGTTGCGTTTGTTTTTAAATCTATTTTCGGATGAAGATTTAGATTCAATTCCGATTAAAATCAAAGAAAATAAATAGGAAGAGATTATCTGAGAAAGTTTCTAACATTCACAACATCATCAACACGTGTTTGAAAAATAACAGGAATTTCCAGAATTAATTGCTTGAAACGAAAACTGCAAGCGATGTTGCCAATTTTTTTATATTTTCAAGAACCTTTCTCGTACACCTTCTGTTATTAAATTATGACATGCTAATAAAGTTTTATTATTTCCAATTGCAACGGCAGGTTGTCCCATATTTCTGTTTACAATTAGTTCTACCGACACTTTCAAAAAAATAAAAATGTTTTTTGAAATAAATTACAAATTTTATTAAAAATCAAGATTGACAAATTTTAATTTAACATTCAGCCAAATTTTTGGTAATGACAGTCATGTTTTCAATGAAACGTTTTCTTTCAACTTCCTTTTGCTGTTCAGTTATGTCCAATTCAGATAACAAAGCGATTGATAATGTTTTATCGAAGTAACGATTTTCGTGATATTTTTTGATCAGACAATCAACTTTTTGACGATCTTCTTTGAAATCCCTGAGAAGATGTTGCCTCAACTCTTCTTCAGCATCGTCGAAATGCTGTTTATTAATAATATCGCACTCTATGCCATTTACAGAAATATTTTTTGGGTTAAGTGAGATGTGATAAACGTTTCTGTCTATTAAATTACTCTCAATGGCATATTTTCTTGCGCAATAATCGCTGACATCATCTTCTTGGTCATCTTTTGCGTAGATTTGATTAAACAATTCGCTGAACTCTTTGTCAGCTAAACAAGAAACGATTGCATTGCCACTGATTCTTGCCTGAACTTTCTTCAATTCTTGAATTTTCATGTCCTTCTCTTCACCTGTGAGTCCATCGGAAATCAAATAAATTTGTTCTTTGATGTCTAAATCGCTCCATTTCAATTCTTTGAGAGTATTGACGATGCACATTGCTGCGTCTTTAAGATCTTCTCTCTTGCTAAATTCATCGTAAAGTCCTGAGTAAACGCCTTCAACCGTTGCTGATAAAACAGTTTCACACAAAAATGATTCGCCATTAAAAGGTTCAAACTGCAGACTTGGCTCAAGCAGTCCATGTCGCTTCAAATAATCAGCGTAACAATTAAAAGTATTTTCCATTGATTCAACACTAGCAGATTGCACTGTTGATACAGTAATTACTATCAAAACAAAATCTAAAACGTTCCACATTCTACAATGACAACTTCTCACAATCACAATTATTAATGAACTGAAAAAGAAGCGACGCGTTATTATAAGCAACTCCAAACACCCCGTTAGGTCTTAATGGAACTTTCACCAAACATGGGAATTTGTGCAAACTTGTTTGAAGAAAACGGGAAGATTATTAAGTGATGAAAGACAAATGAAAATGAAAATATGTTTAGAAGGTGACAAGAACTTTCCACGATTTTCGAGAAAGAAATTTGCTTTGAATTTCGGTCAATCTTATGGACTTTCGTTCACTTCTTTTTACATTTCTTTTCAGCACAATTAGTGTGCGACTAGAGTCTAGACGATTTTAATACCGGATATATTTACATTGCAGTCATTAAAGGACTTCAATTTATGATGAACTGAGAAATTTTATGCCTTTTTGAAATTGCTTTTTATTATGAACAAAACATGAAAATATGTAATTAAAACATTAAAACTGTTGACACAATTCAATGATTATAAAGTAAAGCATAACTTTGACAATGGAAAATTTTTCTGTTACAACATGATGGTTGCATGTGTTGAGTGAATCGAATTCATTTATGGAACATTACCGGCATGACATTTACCAGCATTTACTTAATCCCCATGAAAAATATTATTTTTTTGGAAAGTTTTAAAGCGAAAATAGTGAAATGGATAATTTGAAAGTGTAAACTTTTCTGGCAGTTGAAGTGAAAATTGATTTTTAAATTATGAAATCGTCAGCATAAAAAGTGCATTAAAACATTCATCGAGTCTGCAAACTTTCCTTTGCTCTAGTTTTTTAAAACGTAATAAATTTGATGCTCGATGTTTCCTTGATGTGGTTCCAGGCTAATTTCGAGAAGGGATAAAGATAAAATATTTAAATCTTCTGCATTTGAGTACCTGCAGAATAAATATGGTTTCGTTTAGATCTTCGGATGATTCTTACCTTTTTTTATCCAGGCAAATAATATTCTAATAGACCGAAATGATCCGAAGAACTTTCTTCAGTTACCAAGTTAACGTCACAGCGTGAACATCTAAATGGATTAAAATTCTTAACTTTAACAAGCAAAGTTGAAAATTTTCAAAATTATTAAAAATTTATCTTGTCGTTAATTAAATTGAAAAGTGAAATGATGGCTAAGAAATTTGCGTTTGATTTGATGAGTGGATTGTGGGGGAAAAACGTTAGTAGCGACTTTTCATTTAATCGTCATCAAGAAAATTAATCAATTTAATAGAGAAAGAAAATTAATTTTTTATTTTCATTTATTTCTTCTATAGTTGGATGCATTTTCTAGCCCATCCTTGAAGAAATCTCTCCAGAAAACCACGAGGGAGTTGATTGAGACAAAAATCAATTTTGATGAGATAAAAACTTCTCATCAAAACCTCGAGGATAAATTAAATGACCGTGAGGATTACTTCAACAAAAGAGAATGTGAAATGCAAGAACTTCATCGATGTGAAATCAACAAAGGTGAGATTTATTTATGAAAATTCAATTAAAATCGAAATTACTGAAATTTTCTTCTTCTTTTATAGTCAAAAAATTACTTGAAGATCTCGAAAATGAGAAAAAAGATGAGATTCAATCACTGGAAGCCAAATTGAATCGAAATGAAGAAGAAGCTGAGGAAAAGCTTCGAATATTTATTAGAAACAGTGACGAGAAACTTTCGTTGCGTGATGTTGAACTGCAAGCAGTAATAGGTCGTGAAACGAGTTTACTTGAAAGACTTCAATCAATGACAGTTACCGAAAATGAACTTCGAGAAAAAGTTCATAAAAGTGAAATAGAATTCAGTGAAAAGCTTCATAATTCGAATATCCGAGAATGCGAACTGACTGAGACAATAAATATGCTAACAAAACAGCTCGATGAAGTGAAATTGAAAGCGGAAAATGAGAAGCGTGAACTTGAAGAGAAATTAAATTTACTTCAAGATGAACTGTTGATAACTCGACAACCACGTAGTAGTCCCAACGAATCATTCCTCAACAAATCAATGAATTTAAATCACTCACAACTACTGCAAGACGAAGTCGAATCATTACGTTGCGTTCTCGAACTTAAACAAAGTGAAATATCAGATCTTAGAAAACAAAACGGTGAATTGCAACGTGCAGCTGATGATTCAATTGCCGCACAAGCAAAATGTTCTGCATTAGAATCGCGAGTTGAAGATCTTCAAGTTCAATTGGATGCTAAACATGATGACGAGAAGTAAGTTTAATTCAAATCTAATTAATGATTTAAATTAACAAAATTATTTTCTTTCAAGGGAACTTCTGAAGAAGTTAAAGCAATTACAAGACGCTCATGATAACGTTCATCAAAAGTCGGCTCGTTTAGCGCTACATAATGAAGAACTTCAATGGCGCTTAAAGCAAAATGCTGAGCGTTATTCACACACCATCAACGAACTCTCAAAAAGTTACCACGATTCAAGTATGCAATTCAATCGAAGTAATTCAACTTTCAATGAATTTGAAGCTAGTGGAAAGCCAAATGGATCCATCTTGGATTGTTCATTTGCTAATGAAGGTTCTTCACCACCGACATCACCAATCATTAAAGGTGTTGTAGAGAAAAATGATTCAGTATCGTGGGTACTTGAAATCGATGATGAGACAAAAGAAGCTTCAGCTAATCGAATGGTTCAACGTGCCGGATCGTTTCGAACTTACAAGTGCCCGCCTTCGCCAATAGCTAAACGACAAAAATGTCAAAACAATTCAAGTATTCAACAATCAGCATCAGCAGCTTCAATATTGAGACAACATTCAGAGCCGTCGACCAAAACTCCAACAAACACAAGAATTCGATCGAAATCTGTAAGCACAAACAAACCAGAAGACTCGAAGAAAATTGTTAAGAAATTCTCAAAAAATAGTCAAGAAATTCAAGAATCGAGTTGGGCAAATTTAAAGGCAAGTTCGCCAATTGAAAAGAAGGAAGAAAAGGAAATAAAAAGCATTGACAAATATCGCGAAACGCGTAAATTAGTTACACGTGATGTTCCTTCATTATCAACTGGTGAATTGAAGAAACAGCGACCAAAGATGATATCAGGAAAAGTAATTGTCCGTGGATCAAATTCTGAAGATGATGAAGAAGCATCCGCATCGACATCATCGACTCCTTCAATTGAAGATGAAATGTATCCATGGAAAGCCGATGGAGCTATGGAACTTAGTTGGTGTAATGACGGAGAACCTTCAGAATCAAACGTTTAAATGACATTTGTGAATGATTAGGTAATTACACATCAATCAAGTGACAACAATTGACGTTCAAAGGCCTAAAGAAGACGAACGGAAAATATTTTCATCTTCCACGTGGACGTGCAATTTATTTACTTATCAGCAGAAACAAAGAAAGAAACGATTTGTTATCAAAATCATAAGTTAAAAAGGGAAACAAAAGAAATCTTTATTGAATATTTTTTTGAGTGTTAAATATTTTTAGCATAAATTTTAGTTAAATGTTGGAAATAATAAAATTAGACTTTTGTTACAAATTAAAATTGAAAATCTTTCTGTAGATTGTGATGAAGGTGAAATGAATTTATTAATGAAGTTAAAAGTTTTGTGTGAGAAAAGTTTTTATGATTTAGACAGTTAAGGTTTTAAAGAAATTTATTTTAGAAAAAGAAAAGTAATTAAGCAGCATTTTAATCGGGAAAATCATTTTCAGGCTTTTTAAATTAATTTATAAATTGTACCTGAAACAGATGATAAAGAATCTTAGTCAGATGATAAAAAGTTCAGATAAAAATCACTTTTAAAATCAAAAATTCTAAAAGCTGGAGAATTTAATTAGACATTAAGATTATTTAAAAATAATTTATTATTTAAAAAAGAGTTTTTGTAGATTTCATAAACACAGCAAGATTAATATTAATAAATAGAAGGAATAAAAATTCAACCAAAATTTCAATGAAATATCTTTTCTACCTGTTTACAACAATTCAAAGTACCAAGAGTAGAGTGTTATGAAGCATATGTTTAGATAATAAAACTATATGATTTAATATTAAATGAAGGTGTTCATTTTTCCTCCATCATAGCCAAATCCACAGGTAGGAGCTTTATTTTCAGGCATTCGTTAAGGCACAATACGAGTTCAAAACAAATGTTTCAGCATCGGACACCTTTTCGTCCGAGGAAAAACATCGCACAGAAACTATGCTTGAACTTAAATTTTGAAAACCGTTTTCCATTAAAAAAATGTAATGAAATAATATTTCTGCTACTCTACAATTGACAAGATTGAATTTAGATATATGTAATAATGTTGAACTTTTGGTTCTAACTGCTACAATCGATCACTGTCAAGAATATTGCTAATGACAAAATTAAATTTTTATTACCGCAGACATTTGAATATTTCCAATTACAGCGCAAATATAACTTTTCCGTGCTCACAAGCTTACATCAACAGGCAACTTAGAGATTAAAGGTGTTTTTACAATGGATTGTGATGTTCAAAATCATGGAATAATGCAAATTTCTTGATGGTGCTAACGAGTGTACAGAGATTCAATTCCCACGAAAATATTTCTTCATTACAATAAATGTCTTATAAACTTCAAGATTATTAAAGGGAATGAAATTTTTGATATGAAGTGCTAAAATTTACAAGAGTTTTAATTTTTCTAGCATTTTTTAAGAAATTG